TCAATGGTAACTTAATTCAAGGAATTATGAATTATTCATCAGCTGGGGAACTAAAAGTAACCAATCGTAATGCTACAGCAGGCAGCACTAATAATGAAGAGACACATAAACACAGGCCTTCACTAAACAGAAGTGAGCTTTCATTCTGCAGTCATACACACAATAGATGAATCACAGAAAACAAACATATCATATAAATACTGTCAAAAGACTGGGATTCAGTTTATTCTAAAAACTCCCTGTGGTCATGCATAAAAATGCAAGTAAGTATATTCTGCTTTTGGCTAATCCCTTCAGTTCAATCGGTTTCTTTTGCTGGTTTGTCCAAATAAATAAAATATTTATCTCTTGTCCAGACTAGCGCAATACATTACAACTGCATACTACTCATGTTTAAATCATAAATCATTTTACTTATAATCTACAATTTAACCTAGCTAATGAAATGTTTTATTGAATCTGATGATATATAGTAAGATATTCTGAGAGAATTATTTTATTATTTTTGATACCACTTTGCTCTGTTCCTTCAATAGTCATATAATTTAATGTACTTTGTGTCCATAAATGCAGTGATTTGAGTTAAGCAGTCAATAGACCTTGGAATAGACCTCGCATAAGAAGCATGAATACTTTGTTTTTATTTTGATCTTAATAAAAGTCTGTACATACATGAAAGCCAATATTTAGCGTGTTACTTCAACCAGCATGACCAATTCTGCTTTTAAAAGTGGTCATGATGGTAGGGATCTGGAAACGCTGCACACAGTGGTGGAACTACCGGGGTTGCAGCTTTGACTGGTCCCGCCACACCATGGGGCCCGGCCGCCCTGCGGACCCCTGCAACCAGGGTGCCCGCTGGCCATGTAATGCGGCCCTGGCCCGCGCGCTGCATTGAAGGTGCCCATCGAGTGGCCCACTCTGATGATGTCAGGCGCTGGGAGTAAATGACTGCCCTTCCTCCCAGCAATCACCGGGAGCCGCCCGGGAGGATAAAGGAAAGGAGGATGTCAGAGTGGGAACTCTGACTCCCATCAGCTGGAGCCACTGGAGTCCAGGGAAGTCACCCTCCTGCACCTAAAAGGTAGGAAACAGGAGGGTGACTAAAACATTTAGCTTGTGTGTGTGTATGTGGTTCTGTATGTATGTGCCTATATGTATGTGTGTTTGTATGTATGTTTGTGTCTGTATGTATGTGTATGTATGTCTGCCTGTATGTGTGTGTTTGTATGTATGTGTCTGCATGTATGTGTGTGTGTGGTTCTGTATGTGTGTGTGTTTGTATGTATGTCTGTATGTGTGTGTGTGTATTTATGTCTGTATGTATGTGTGTCTGTGTGTGTCTGTATGTTTATCTGTATGTGTGTGTGTGTCTGTATGTGTCATGTTTGTGTGTGTCTGTACGTATGCGTCATGTGTGTGTCTGTATGTATGTGTGTATGTCTGCATGTGTATCTATATGTGAGAAGTATGGGGGAGGGGGGCCCAGGGCAATTTTTGCACTGGGGCCCCGTGGTTTCTAGTTACACCTCTGGCTGCACATACTGAGATATTTGCACTTGTGTGTTGATGGCTAGATGCACCACAGGTATATGTGACTTAAGCAACCTGAAACTCTGTACTAGACTGACTAATGTCAATTCTGTGCAAACTTTACGTCTGTCGCCAGCCCAGATAAACACACAAAACAGTCTTACTTGGTAACAGGACATCAACAAAATAAAATAGATAACAGTGTAAAACAGTTAAAGGAACACTACAAATGTGTATCCCTGACACTACAGGTCTAAATAGCTATTTAGTCACCCGGACTCCCTTACCTCTGGTTAAAAAGGTTACTCACCTTTTTCCAGCGTCTTGCAGAACCAGTTACAGCTGGCCCACCCACTCTCTGGTCCTGGGCTTAAATCATCAAACTTTATGATCTCAGACATTCTAATAAGTTCCCATAGAAAAGCATTGGGGTCTATCGGGCATATGCGTCAAAACACTGCTCTTATAGAGATGCAATGACTCCTGCAGAGCATGGAGATACTGAACGTCAGTGCTACAAAGAATGCACCTCTAGTAGCCATCTGAGTTACTGCACCGAAAGGTAGGCATGTGCATGGGGAAAAAATTTTGGACTTCGGCACTTTGGCACTTCGGAAACTTCGGATCTTAGACACTTCGGAACTTCGGCAACTTCGACACTTCAGAACTCTGGCATTTCTGGACTTTTTTTGCAGCCGCTTGGTAGATAACTCCCTAATTCCCATGGTATTAGGGAGTTATCTACCAAAAGGCTGAAAGACCTAAATTGGTCTTTCAGCCAAATTTACTAATACTAAGTAAAAATTATTTACTATTAGTAAATTGTGCTAAAGCGGGTGGGGGCCCTAAAGTAAAAAAAGGGGGGAGTACCTATTGTCCTCCCCACTGGCCCCCACCCCTGAGCAGCGGATGGGGGTTCTAAATAAAAATTGGGGGGGACCTAATGTCCTCCCCCTGGCCCCCACCCCTGAGCGGTGGGTGGGGGCCCTTAACAAGAATAAGGGGGGGGACCTAATGTTCTCCCCGCTGGCCCCCACCCCTGAGTGGCTAGGGGTCCCCAAACCCCTAGTCACCCTCTCCCCCAAAAAAGAAACCCCTACCTACCCCCCTCACCCTAAAAATAATGAGGGGGGACCTTTAACCCCTTAAGTACACATGACATGTGTGACATGTCGTGCTTCCCTTTTATTCCAGAAGTTTGGTCCTTAAGGGGTTAACTAAGTAGCTGTAAAAATAAAAATAAACTTACCATTCAATGTTTTCTTTCTTCTAAGATCTTCTTTTTTTAGCCCCAAAAAAGGCCAAATAAAAATCCATAATAACCGACTCAATAAAAAAAAAAAACGAGCGCAAAAAAAAATAATCCATCTTCACCTTCAGTCTCTTCATTTACCTGTCAGAGCACTCTGATTGGATGGCTTAAACCCACCCATTTTTAAAATTGCGTCGGTTATTATGGATTTTTATTTGGCCTTTTTTGGGGCTGAAAAAGAAGATCTTAGAAGAAAGAAAACATCGAATGGTAAGTTTGTTTTTATTTTTACAGATATTTAGTTAAAGGTCCCCCCTCATTATTTTTAGGGTGAGGGGGGTAGGTAGGAATTTATTTTTTTGGAGAGGGGGTGACTAGGGGTTTGGGGACCCCTAGTCACCTTTGGGGGAGGGGGGTTAAATTTGTATTTAGGGCCCCCACCCGCCGCTCAGGGGTGGGGCCAGGGGGGAGGACATTAGGTCCCCCCCCAATTTGTATTTAGGGCCCCCACCCACCGCTCAGGGGGGCAGGGGGGAGGACATTAGGTTCCCCCCTTATTCTTGTTTAGAGCCCCCACCCACCGCTAAGGGATGGGGCCAGGGGGGAGGACATTAGGTCCCCCCCAATTTGTATTTAGGGCCCCCACCCACCGCTCGGGGGGCAGGGGGAGGACATTAGGTTCCCCCCCCTTTTATCCCCCCCTTGTTTAGAGCCCCCACCCAGCACTCAGGGGTGGGGGCCGGTGGGGAGGACAATAGGTCCTCCCCCCTTTTTTTACTTTAGGGCTTAGGGCCCCCACCCTCCGCTCAGGGGTGGTGGCTGGGGGCAATAGGAGGCTCAGGAGGGGGTACCTTTTTTTTTTTTTACAGTGAGCAACCACAGGCTGCTCACTGTTTAATAGACATACCCCTAATTTACTAATACTAAGTAATCTTTACTTAGTATTAGTAAATTTGGCTGAAAGACCAATTTAGGTCTTTCAGCCTTTTAGTAGATAACTCCCTAATACCGTGGGAATTAGGGAGTTATCTACTTATTCATTCCTGTCATTACATTGACTGGCTAAGTAACTTACATTTTATATGAATGTATGTTACTTGATAAAGGAAGGAGCTGAATGAGCCGTGCATGTCATGACTGAGTGTGGTAGGAGTTGTTGTACTGATATGCTAATCATTGCTCTAATTAGGAGTAACTGTTTTTAATCATGTGGATTAATAAATTATTGTTTACAAAGAGCACTGTGATCTGTTGTCCTTTATTGTAGATACTTCCTGGATCCAATTCATTATTTGAGACTATTTATTCTATGAACTATGGACTTTCAACCTTTTATGGTGTATTTAACTGTTTTATGTTGCTATTTTATTTTGTTTGTGCTCTGTTATCACTAAGACTGTTTTTGTGTGTTTTTGTTTATCTGGACTTGTATTTGGCACTCCAGCAAATTTTCCTCCCTGACTAGCAGGATTTTTTCTGATTCCATAAAATAGATTATTTCTCACTATGATAAATCATACATTTAGTGCATTGGGAGCTGTTACCTGTTGAAGTCAACCTGTCGTGACTAGTTCACTTTAAAAAAAGAAAAAAAAGAAAAAAAGCTATTACACTCACTTCACAGCAGCTCTGATCATCCTTCCATGTAATGATGATTTATAGAAAAGCACTGGGACTTAATGTGCATGTGCTTGAAGCCAATGCTTCTCTATGAGAAGCACTTATTTTTGCTTTGAACTACAGCTCAAAAGTGAGTGAAGACAGAAACCCTACCGACTGTCAAGTCTACATCCAGATGTAACCAAGGTGTTATAAATGTGACAGTTTCTCTAAAAATATTTGTCTTTTATCCAATAAGCCTGCAGCTGAATTGCTTTAGAGGACTGGAGTATCCCTTTAACTGTTGCAAAAGAAAAGTTTCCCAACATAAACATATATTTTTGCTCTACTTTTAAGAATACCTCATATGTGCAGATTTTAAGTCTTTTTTTAGCGTTTACTGGTTTTAACGTTACATGAGTTGCATTACAGTTTTAAAACTAACAGTTTCCATGCCAGGACTGTAATCATCATAGTGGTCAAGGCACCTCCAAAGAAAATTAAATATTGTTACATTATTATTATTTTATTATTTATATAGCGCCATCAGATTCCGTAACGCTGTACAATGGGTTTTATTATTATTATTTTATTATTACAGTAATCATCATAGTGGTCAAGGCACCTCTAAAGAAAATTAAATATTTTTATATTATTATTACTGTAATCATCATATTGGTTAAGGCACCTCCAAAGAAAATTTAATATTTTTATATTATTATTATTATTATTATTACTGTAATCATCATAGTGGTTAAGGCACATCCGAAGAAAATTTAATATTTTTATATTATTATTATTATTATTATTATTACCGTAATCATCATAGTGGTTAAGGCACCTCCAAAGAAAATTAAATATTTTTATATTATTATTATTATTACAGTAATCATCATAGTGGTCAAGGTACCTCTAATGAAAATTAAATATTTTTTATATTATTATTATTATTATTATTATATTATTACTGGAATCATCATTGTAGTCAAGGCACCTCCAAAGAAATTTTAATATTTTTATATTATTATTACTGTAATCATCATAGTGGTCAAGGCACCTCCAAAGAAAATTAAATATTTTTATATATATGTGATATGAAAGAAAAAAACATTCAAAGAAGCTATACATTTAAATAGTTAACACAATTACCTGATATACAGTTAAGAATTCACTACATGCAGGTTATTTATGAGTTAAGCAGTCCAGTTTGTTACTTACAGTCCAGTAACAGCGATAACCACTCTGACTTGTTTTCTGCTGTATGATGCTAGCTGAGCTGTCTTGTACCTTTAATGACTTCTTTGTGACAAAGATTTCTCTTTCAATGTAAAAGGCTTTCCTGCGCAAATAAATAAATACATAATATGTAAATTAGCATTTAGAAAACCCTTAGTGAGCTAAACATTGATAATAAAGTAATTAAAGCTTAGCTTATTTTTTTTTAACAGAAGGTACAGCATTACAAATAAACAGTTTTCAATACAGATGTAATTTACTACAACTTTGTACATTTTTGTACGCTGTGTTTCTTTACAAAATGACTTGTAATTAAAGGTTAAAATCCCAGTTCAATGCAAACTCCCAAACAGTTTGAAAAAACAAACAGGGTGTCAAGTATTACCTGCGTGCAGCGTATTCTATGCACCATTAACCTGATTCTCACCGGTCACTACTTATTTTGACACAAGTCTGCGTTATTTTTTACACACGTCTTGTCCTTTTGTGTTATCCACTATTAAAAAATCTTGACGCCTGTAAGGCTGTATCATTTGTTGATTCTACTTTTGGCAAGTAATTTGACTCAAGATCATGTTCTTGGGACATCATCGGCATAGGCCTTAATAGGCCTTAAGAACCAACGTTCCTTAGACTCATTGCCAGTTTGTAGTCCTTACTGCGCTGTTCGATGGGTTTTGAGCTTGGTGTCCAGTGGTCCTGTTTTACTGATCTTGACCAAGCTTGTTTTTGATCTTTCCTGCTTGTTGCATGCCCTGACTTTGGCTTGTCTGACTATCTGATTTCAGGAATCCAGACACTGGCTTGTAAGCGGTTTTGCCTAGTTAGTTACATCCTGGTGTCTTTCTTTCAAGTTAAGCCCAATGGCTCTAAGGTTTGGGAATACTTCCTTCAATCCCTTGCTTATATCTGCATTTAGGGATCTTATTCTCACTCAGTACCTAGTGGCCCATACACAGAGAAAGCAGGAAAATACAAACACAAAAGGCCAAAAATAGAAGATTCGGGAAACTAAAAAAAACAAAATATGTATGTGTATGGGGGACACAAAAAACAAAATAAAAAAATGAATAATGGGGAAGATACATATACAACATGTTAATAATGGTCTTGAACATTTCTTTCAGTTCCAGAATCATTATTTTAGTTTTGTCAACCTGACCTGAATTTGAAAATGCCTAAATAAACTATTAATTGCAAAAACTCAACACAGAAAATAAAAAAGGTTAATATTTTTGTACAAGTTAATTGATGTTAGATGGCAAATAAAATCTGATTTGCATTAAAAGATTACACAATGATTGATATACCCTAAACAACAACATTTGTATAGCATATTTAAAACCTAATTAAACATAATAGGGGATGATGTAAATGACCGCCATGGGAGAGAAAATGTTTTTCATGATGTGAATAGAAGTTGAAAATTCTAATTGCATTACACTTTTTTTTTTTATTTATTCCTATGCGTCTAATGTTTAAATACTGTATTCCCCAAAGTGCACTAATGTAATATTATATTCACCATACAGTTTTCATCACGAGGTCATGTTGCGTTCTAAACTATACTCATTATTTGTAACATAGACTCACACTCTTTTCAATCAGTATAATTATCTTATTTGTTAATTCATTAAGTTGCTGTTAAGGGCCTACTCTACTAGTACAACAATTGAATCAAGTATTACGTTTTTCACAAATTTACATTTGCTTCTTCCAAGTAGATTCCCACTTTTACGAGCATGATTGTATTGTATGTATGCTGTACAGCTATTAAAATGGAATGCTAATTTGATTGCACAGGTTTTAATTTAAGGAAAGGGTCATGTTGTGTTAGCCTGCTATGACAAAAACCTTTAAGAAATTACACATTTTTCTCATTTGGAGACAAGATTATGTTCATATAAAATTCACACATGTGAAAGTATATTAGTGAGTTCAAATTAAAGCTAATTTTAAAAATAATTATCTTGCGTAGGTAGTACACAGCATTGTTTGCATTACAAGTTTTTTTTCCAAAATTCTTACTATTCTAAATAAAATATATCAAGTATTGACTGTTTAAATACAATTTATGTTTGTAATAATATACAAAGAAATACAATTGGAATTTGAATATATTTATATACTTATATTGTAATTGAACTTGAAGAAAAAGAAAAGTGATAAATAATATATCAAAAATATATCAACATATAAAAAAATATATATAATTGTAAAAAAAAATTTAAAATATTAAATCATTTAAAACACTTAGCTGAAAATATTAAATCACTTGAAACGCTTTTAAAACAAGCCCAAGGTTCTATAAAATAGGTTGACCAGTTTCCAGTATTTGGTACCATATCGTCATTTAATAAAACAAAAACAAGAAAAACTAGGAATGTACATATTTTGCAGCTTGACCATTTTAGATTGTATTCTGTACATCGGTTTGTTGGTTGACTAACCCAGCTTTTCATTCACATTAAACACACTACCAAAAATCGAACATGAAATACAAAACACTGCCATAATAAAGAGACTGAACAACAATCAATGATAACCTCCTTTGAATTAATTCCATATTGATTTATGTGATGTTTTTTTTTCCCTTTAGACATGTTTATGACTAACAAACCAACAGCGGAAAAGAATCCAGGGAGACTTTATAGCACCTTCCATGTAAAATCCTAACTCATCAAATTGGCTCATTAATATGCAAAAATCATCTCACTCTACTGAGATAATATAATACACTTAAATATTATTATATTTGTCTCCAGTGCTCTGGTTTTGACTCAGCTAAATATATTTTATATTAGGCACATATCCTAATTTATGGTATATACTTTGTGCTAAATGTTTCTGTGTGTTATACTTCAACAATGTGTACAGGAGGCTCAACATGTTTTTAATTTGTCTTTATTATTGGGAGTTACATTTAATTATGACATTCTTATGTAGCAGGTATTGCACTAAAATGTGACTTGACTTAAATCGGTTACAAATACATTAAATCAATTAGGTATCGCAGAAAAGCAGGATGTATTTAATGTAAAATATAAAAATATATTCACCTCTGTTCCATCGCCGTCACGTTCTAAGCTTCATGAAGTGTTACTCTTCGTGTAACACCCAACTCCATTCTGTCCTCTGCTCCTCCAGACATCTGTGATTTCCTCTGCTTGGGGACACTAACTCCTGTTTGTGTGAAAACGTTGTGTGTCCTCTTTGTGTGAAAACGTTGTGTGTGGTGCCGACATGCTGGCTTCGTTGTCAGCTAGGTAGTTTCCATAGATACCACAGCACATGCTCAGTGGTTGCTATGCTTGGGAAAGTAGAAGGACCTCATGTCTTTTCTGCTCTCAATTTTCAGTCAATCTACAGGTGGGAGAAATACCAATTTTAAAAAGGGTTTTCTCCCAACCAGTACATTTCCAAGCAAATCTGCTATCACAATGTATAGATGATACTTCAAAAGAGCATTAGTAGTTTGGGACATGACAGGTCCCCCGAGTCACACTGGTATCTCTCATGTGACTGATTCACCTCAAATATGGAGTTCTTGATCACCTGGAACTATTGGGACTGTAGATGGTTAATTACTTTGCTGTGGGTGCTGATAAAACAGATAATATTGTGTGTCAGGAGCTCTTATAGCATCAGATGGCTATTTCATTAAATATAAATCCAGCAGAAAAATGTAGAGATAATTAGAATTAATTGTACACAAGCACATGAGTAAGTATAATAATAGACTACCAATGTCCACCAAAACAATCGGCAGCAAATGATGAACACTTAAAGAAGTGATAAAGAAGTGATGGCTAAATGTATGCACTTCAGAGTAACATTCCAAATATGTGGAAATCCAATATCTAGCGATAGATAGAACAGAGTAATGCTGCTTGAAATGGAAAAAAACATAATGCAAGTGTGCACTCAAAGGAACCCTGTAGCGCTAGGAATACACATGTTTATTCCTAACATTTGAGTACTCTGTTAAATGTTTAGGTCTCCAGCCTCCCCTTGTAAAAAAAAAACTACTCAGTGGAACATGAATACTAACAAAAACAAGAAAATGTATTGAAATTGGATATAAATTAAAAAAAAAAAATCTTTTCCGTTTGGTCTCCAGTATAACAAAAAATAAATATGAAATGTATAATGATCTTTAAATGTAGTTTTATTATCTCTTACAAATATTGAGATATTGAGATTAAACAAGTATAAATATAGATGGTTACAAGTGGAAATCACAATTCCAGTAAATATGTATATTAATAATTGTATGTATGTATGTGTGTGTGTGTATGTATATATATATATATATATATATATATATATATATATATATAATGTTGTGCATTAAATAGGTTTATTTTAACTCATAATCATTTTGGTTGAGAATACATTTTACCTACAAATACTTGGCACATCTATGGGCACCATGTTTGTCCCTAGCTGTACCAATCTGTTTGTGTCGTATTGGGATATATGGGTGGGTCATGGCTGAGGGACAAATATGGTGCCCTGGTTTATTTGCCATGCTTTATAGATAATATATCAGCATTACTTGGCAAGGCACTGAATATATCATGTTTTTTTTTGTTTCTGATTATGTTATTACTTCTTAGACTGGGAGGAATTGGGAGGAATAAGATTAATTTTTATTACTGGAGTTGTGATTTCCACTTGTAACCATCTATATTCATACTTGTATAATCTCCCATGATATCTCCTCTTGACATTTATACAGACACATCAAGTGGTTTCTGAAGAGGCTGTCAATGCGACCAGAGGCAGCCATAATATTTATTTTGCGCTTTTGTATTGAAGCACTTATTTTTCAGTAGGTGTTCTCTTGCTCTTTGTTTTATCTATTCATATCATATTACCATATATGTTTTCTTTGTTTATATTTTACATTACACTGGTGTGCATACACTTAGCTATGACTTCAGTGATACCGAATTCAGGAACCGAATTGTTCCTTGTTTTTTTATACACTGCTTTTGCGCAACCAATAGCTTTAGAGATCGCACTGCTTTCTGTGGGAGAGGTAGGATGACATTAAAAAGGTCTGGCTTCTGGGATTCCAAAATAAGAACCCTGACTGTCAATATATATTTATCTAGGCCAGAGGACAACGTTCATCCTCTACATTCTATAATCTACATATAGAAATCCTTATTCTCTGGCTACTATCTAGTTCAATGAAGATTGTCACACATATCTACTCAATGCATATTAACTAGTCCCTAGCAAACTCGCATGAAAATAACTTATTACAAAGGATGATGTATGGATTTCATTAAATTGTGAATCATGGTACCCTTATGTACATGTCATTCAAACCTAAATTTTTTTAAAATTATTATTATTCTTTATTTTTGTCTTGCACTAATATGTCAAAAAGTACAATTTGCAATGACATTAAGCAGTGATATAAAAGAAAACATAAGCATTGCGTAAGAGCGGGAGATAGAACAATTGGGTAAGGATTTTAAGATATTATAAAATTTTTAAATAATATGTAACGAGCTGTACGAGAGGAAAACGTCTTTAACTTAATTTTTTAGTTATTAATTCATGTTAGAAACAGATCCAGAGAAGCTGGGATATTGCTACTGTGTTATTGCTGTTTAAAAGGAGAGGAGTCTGGGAAATATAGTCCATTTTGACTACAGCAGTGAGAAAATTAATGTAAGCTGTTTTGAGAGATAAAGCATAGCATACCATAAGAGTTATAAAAAGATAAAATCATCATGAATTCACAGCAGGCAAATCATTCAAGACATACCTTATTGAGTTCTGACATTGTTACAAAAATTATGGATGATAGTGAAGACGTCGATATAGTGTGTTTGGATTTCCAAAGTTTTGAAGCTGTGTCACACAGTACACTAATCCATAAACCAGATATGCTGTGTCTAGATAAAAGTGTAATTCACTATACAAGATATTTGTTAAGTGTTATCATTATTATCTTTGTTGTACATTCAAAAGAAGGAAAGGCTACCAACAGAGTGCCTTGGCTGTGAGTATTTAAACCAGTTATTTTGACAAAGTCACAAACCTGGTTTTCAATATTTCCTTAGCAAGAGACTAAAGATAATTGCACATAGTCTGAGGATTAAATTATAATTTAAGAAAAAAAACATGCAATTTACCTTTTTTAGAACATCTATTTACATCAGAGTGAACCATGCAGGTAACCCAGTTAGCTAAGGACCAATTACTACACACAGCTACTTTTTATTTGGTATTGAATGAGGGGACTGCAAAAGAAGCAGCAGTATTTTTTACATCTAAATTCTGCTTTGATAACAGCTGCTGCTGATTGGCTACGTGGTATGCTTTGCCTATGCCCACCCAATATATGATCAGCTGTCAAAGGCAGTGAGAAGTGGTAAGTGCAACAAATATACTGTATGTCTAACGCCAATCAGATAGCAGCAGGATTTTAAGTTTTGCTTCAATTAAATAAGCAAAATCTAGAATTCAAGTTTAACAGCACATTAATATTTTAATCTCTGACAATTTTAGTGAAATGCTTTCCTTTCCGAAGATGACACAACAAAACGTTTAATTTGGTCGACACTTCAGAAAGTATTAGCAAAATTATAAATGATTTAATTAAAGGAATGGACTCATCTTGGGAAACATGATAATATGCACATGACAAAATAAAAAAAAAAAGAAATCTAAAATGGATTGCAGATTTAATCCACTTTGCTAAAAACATCTTCAGAAAAAAACAAAAAAACAACAGCATTATGATGTGAAATTTAAATGAGAACAGACAGTTTTCCAAAGCAACATAAGAAGACAGTAGAATACTTGGTTGTATAAGACAGGCATCAGAAGCAGGAAAAAAGCAGATGTGCTTATGACACTTTATCGATCACAGATGAGACATGACAGAAACCTTCAAATACAACAAGGAATGAAATAAAGTAGAAGATTGAAGAATTTTCAATAATGAAAAAAGAACGAGAGAACAATATCTGAAGGCGAGAGTGGAAAACGTAGAGATTAGCTAGAGAAATACTTCTTTACAGAGGGGATACTGGGTACTTGGAAACAGCCCAATATAAGAGTAAAGGAATTCTGTAATGTTTGAAATCAACATGTTTTTTAGGGCTTTCAGGAACATTCCAGGCACCATAAGCACTACAGTCTTGAGACAGCTGGAAGCTCCCGGTTAGAAGAGTAGAGGGAGCTCAAGGGATGAGCGCATCAGCTGATTGCTCCCAGCAATGAGATTAGTTCAGGCCGAGAGCTTCCTGCTCTCCCACAGCTGTAGTGGAAGCGAGAAGCGGCATGGGGTGTATCCCAAAGAAGAAGTCAACCTTTCTAAAATAGTGTAAATAATAAAAAAGAGGGCGTCCGGGCACCATAATCACTATAGTGTGCTGTAGTGGTTATGATGTTTGGAGTGTTCCTTTAATGTCTTTTTTTCGGGCCCCAGCCACATCGTCTCCCATTTGTTTTCTCTTTCTGGACACGGAAGAACTATTTAAGATTGTTTACGGATATTGCATGACAAATAAAACAAAATTATATATTTGTGCCAAGAAATCTCTCTTTTTTTTATGGGGTGCAGAGCTTGGATGCTATACTGAACAGCCACAGAGTGCATGAGCTCCTGCTTAAACCCGATTACACAGTGATTACTGGGATTAAATTAACCTGCTATTGAATTTCCTCTTGTTGGTACCCTTGTCTGGTAAAACTTTGGAGTGAGTTCTGGCATCGATATTTCAGCTAACCAGGAGCTGCGGCACCCAGATTGTTGCAGCCTGGTGGATTACTGGTGGGAGAGGTGGACGATCTCTCAGTCCGTGGCGGTCTACTTCTTGTGGTCACTCAGAGCTCTGCACTCCCCCCTTTGGGGGATGGGGGTAATCACAGCCCCCACCAAACAGGAACAAACCTCTCAATAGCTCCAGGGTGACTTTCTTGAAGGCGACTGGCACGTGGCTTATCCAAAATGGCTGATGGCAACGACAAGCGCGCAGAGCAGTCATCCCTTGATAGCTGGGTAGCAGAATTTCAGCACGGGTTCGATATCATATGCCAACGAGAGGGAGAGCTGGGAGAATAGGCGACATCCACCTGCACTACCCATACCTTCAACATAACCTCCATCCAGAGCTCTGGTTCGATGCCCCCTTCCTAGGTGGGGAATCAAGAGGTCCCATGTGTCCACCCACAGTCCACGCTTCGGAGCAGAATATGCTCGACCAAAAACACGCGACTGTCTCCCTGTGAAGGAGGGAGAAGTCAGTGGACATTGGGAAATGGTTCCTGAAAACACCTGGGGCTATTATGGCACCGCACGTTGCGGCACCATGGGAGGCGCAAATCACCTTGCATACCTACCTGGACTCAGCCTGGCCATTACAGGCATAGGTTGGGTAACCCATATCTGTGGGAGCTGTCTGGTCTGAAATGGGACTTAGGCTACTGATAACTTGGTTATGTTGCTTTTTGTCCCTATATCTATCCTGTTACTATTTGCAGCATTCTTTCAGTATGCATGTCCTATGCTCCTTCATTTAAATCACATGTAGGGTTAGCACCCTGAGCTTCAATTCTAACTCACTTGGAGGTTTTACATTTTTTTTTATAATTCTTTATTTTAGTAGTGCATAGAAAGAAACATAAGCAGTTAGTGACATGACATTGATAAGTAATATGACAAAGTATATTGCAGGTATACAACAGGTCATGTCTAAAGACTTGCACTTTTTTTTTTTATAAACATTCAAAAGGTGAGAAACCTCGACATGCACAAAAAACATTGAGTAGAGATAATTGCAAGCTTGTATTATGCATGTCAAGAAGTCTAATCAGTTGTCAGTATACTAAACTAAGGTATGTTACTGCTTATACTAGGGCCACTGTGAGGAAGTTACAAGAGACTTTGAGAGATGCTGTATGATTACCAGTGGCCTGGTTAGAAATACCACCAGCACATCTTTATAGTGACATATATGCTAGGCCTGCATGATAGACAAGATATGTTGGAATTAAGACTAGGCGATCAAATCATAAACCAACAAGATCACACCCATTAAAAAACAAACAAAAAAACCCCATTAGTAATAAACACGAGTAAACAGTATGGAAACTGTTGGGAGCTGAGTAACTTAATGTGGTCTTGGGTGTTTGAAACTGAAGAAAAAAAAAAAGTTCAGCCTAAGCCCAGACTGTGTGTACTGAGTGGGCTGTGAGAGTTCTCCTGACCCAGGCACGAAGAGATGCTGATTGTGGCAAGTTGGGATTCCCCATTTTCACACTCCCATCCCCAGATATGCTCAGGGAGCAACACGCCAGATTTTGGGGCCTCTTCACGCCGTTTTCACAAGCCTTTAGCCGTGGTTACTCCCCAGATCAGAGCCAGTGGGTCGTCTTCTGGGATCTCTCCCTTCACGTCTCGCTGCTCAGGCTGATGATGGCTGATCGAGGGGCATGGACGCAGGTACCTTTTCAGGTTGCAGAAGTGCCGGGTCGGTGATTGGTAAGCCGTGCTGCATGTTTCTATCTCCCTGCTCTCCAGAGGCGTGTGCAGGGCTCTCCATAAGGCAGCAGAAAGACCTTCTTCCACCTCTTGTGTGCCTCCGCTGCCTCGTGTTGTTCAGGAACATGAGGTGCCGCCATCTTAGGTGTGTTTAGCGGTCGGTGCTGATTGCCTTTGTGGTTTAGAAGGTCCAGCACCGGTCCAGAGGGGGGGAAACGGGACCAGTCAGTTGCTCCATGGGAGAGCCAATGTGGGGCAGTGAACAAGGAAGCAAGGAGGCGGCCGTCCATCCCGCTCCTCGCTCGACTAGGCCTCAAATTCCGGAGTCTCGATTGTTTGTTTCAGGCTTTAGTATTCCCAGATCTGGGCCCGGCACCAGCACCAGCTGTCAATTAAGTAGCAGATTATTACTCCTGGGCTTCGAGTTGGTACAGGCTCTGCCGAAATTCAGCTCTTTAAGCTAAAGCCCTCAGGGGCTGCTCAAACATGCGACTTGCCTGCATGGCGGTCCGGCCCTGCCCCCTCCCCCCCCCATTTTTTTTTAATAAGAGTATTATTTTCCATTGGCTTCTTTATTCATTATTTATCACAGTTACGCACTTATGTTCACAATACTGACTTTGTGCTTGAACCGTATAAGAATAAATTGATAGTACAAGTATCATTGTGGCTATTTTCACACACTGTCCATTCATATGACTTAGTACATTCCACACAGAAGCTAGCCTTCAATGGCAATATATATTTTCTCCATGCTTAAACAGCAGCATGTAAAATAGACCTAAAATGACAATGTGAGTGGGTGGTGGAGAACACTTGCCGAATTAGACCATCCTCCTGGCCTGGGTTTTTCATGATAACTTTGGATATACTGCAGACATTCCTGGATTTATTAACTGGCTCTTCAGCTGTTAACTGGAAACTACACTATCCTTAAAATAGTTCTCTTCTATTCCTTGGTCTTCTACATCACTTAATTTCTGTTTCTCTCTTAACTATTTCTACATTCTTTTCTCCTTCCATGCACTCTTTTGGAAAATCTCTATAGGTAAGCATGGTCAGATTCTGTGTTAATTTCCTAAATTATGTGTTAATTCCCTGAATTAACATCAAATAATTCAAAATAACGTAAATATATCACATATACATTGTATTGCTTACCTTTTACATCAGATGCTTACTTTTTAAAAATGTATATTAGACTTAACAAATGACATCATAATCCAGTTCAGACAAGGCAAATTAAGGTCAAAAATGTCATATGAAAAGTAGAAATAGACAAATATAGTGACTGTCAGGTGCAAAGTTCAGACCCTATAACAATGATTGAAAGAGCGCTGGATTGGGGAAGCCAGTTGTAAACATAGTGTGTATTTCTACATCTGATTTTATTTTTCACACCTCACAAATACATTTTGTAAACATAGTAAAAATCCTTAGAAGTAACAGTTCCCCTTTAAAATGTTAAAAATCGATAAATATGAAAACGTTTTATTAGCATGATAAATCAATTGGTTTCGATCGCCTTCACTCTCACTTGAATACTTTTTCGATAGGTTTGCGTGCATAAATATAGCTCATAGCTTCCAAAATTTAATTCTACATTCTGACAGCTTACATGTGTCTTATAGAATGTTCTTGCTTCCTTAGGCTATGTTTAATTTTGGCGAATGTCGCAAAACCTATGTATTCAATTATTACATGATGGAACAGCTCGGGTTTTATCAGTAACCTTTAAAGTGGCATTAATCCTTATCTCTTTCTGCTGCTGAGATATATATATATATATATATATATAAACATAATACACAAGATCCAGCGCACTCACTCATCCACTAAATAAAAACTTCAAAGCTCACAGATTTTATTAGTTGTTTTTTTTTTTTTTTAAACACCTAAACTAGGCACAAATAATGGGGGTTTAATCACAGTATATGATCATACAATGCACAGCAACTTCAAAGCTCACAGATTTTATTAGGTTTAAAAAAAAAACCACACCTAATTTTGGCAAAACCACCCAATATTTTTGCCTAGAGTGGGTGAGCTTTGAAGTTGCTGTTTAGTGGATTAGTGAGTGCGCTGGATCTTGTGTATTGTATAAATTGTCCCCAGCAGCACCCCATTTATGCATGGTCAGGTGAGTGCAGCCCCATGGTTTCATATATATATATTTTATAAGATTTTAAATCCAAATTTATTACCATCTAGATTATAAATCTTTATGATTTCATGTCTTCACAGTGCTCTTTAAGCATTTTGTTTCACCTCCTGGTTTACTAATTCTCCTCTAATATATTTCAAATTATGCAAAGAAATAATTAAGTGGATTTTGCGCCTCTTTCTAAACACTGATAATCTTTCAAAGATTGGAGACAATTACCAGTAGCAATGAGAAATGACAAGCTATTTAAAAATGATAGAAAACAAATGTCCGTTCTGAACACTCTAAAGGAGCAGAGTAATAGTTTCACCAAATATGACCAGTTAGTAGTTTTGCGAATAGGCAATCCTATCCCAGAGCAAATGCTGTTGAAAGATTGCAATCTCAGTTTGGTTCCTTGTGAAAATTGCCACTTAGCAACAGATGGCACACCTGTCCGTTGTTATCCTAAACGTAACCTGCTGTCATCAGTATGTCTTAAGTTATGACTAAAAAGAGTATGGCAGACATCTGTTTACATTATTGTACAGCGCTACGGAATTTGCTGGCGCTATATAAATAATAAAATAATAATAATAATAATAATAAAGGCCATTAGGCACAGTAAAGATGAACCCTTTATTTAAAATAATTAAATAGATAGAGATAAATAGAGATAAAACATTTTCATATTTCATGTCAAACACAGAGGCCAATACTTGACAAAATGTAAAAATGAGGAAATATTAAATGTACTGACCATATGTAATCACTTATTGGAACTTCCATCCAGCAAAAACAGTAATAAAGTAGACTAAAGCACAATAAAAACTGAAACAGGCATCATTTAAGAAGAATAAACTTCTGATGGAGTTGGAAACTCAGTTGGTCCTTGCCTGTGACGTGCAGGACAAGTTGAACTGGTGGTTCTCTTTTAGATTCCCCACATTTTTCCTGATAGTCTCCCTACATCAGTCTAGCCTCTCCGTGAGATTAAATCCTCATTAACAGTTGGTAACCATATGCTCTGGGAGTTTTTGTATACAATGTATACATTATTTTTATTAGCATCAAGGAATAGGATTATCGAAGAGCACCATTACACATTTGCACTGTCTATGGGTCATGCAGGTACCCCCAAGCACCATAACTGCTCACATATGCTGGTAATATCGAGGTTACATGAGGTTTGTTAATTTACAAATCACAGGACTGGTTTTCTCTCACTTATTCATGTGATCCTATGGCCCACCAGGGTGAATGCACAAAGAGGACAATGGAATAGGATGGAGAGTAGGAAGGTTCTGCTGCTTATATCTGGACTAAATATTTTGAATATGTGGAATATTTTTAGGACTCTAAAGCCCTGTCCTGATCAAACAGTGACTCTACATAAGGCAATAACAGCATTGGGATGCCAACCCAGTAGCATTGCTGGGGAATGACTTTGGGGAATGAAGCCCTGTGTGGGGGCTTCTTTAGCTCTGGTTCTCTATAGATAGTGTATGAGCAGCAGGATCTTTGATAGCCATGCGCAAGTAACCTTATACATGGTAAACAATCCCGGCATAGTGGGGATCTCTGTTCTTGTTCTCATTTCTTCTGTGTATTATTCATTATTTGACTATTGTATGTTTTTCAGTCACTACTGTATAGGTCTTTAGGCTTTTATTATGGGATGCTCCATATTCTAAGCTACTCTGGGTGAACCTTGTCAGATCTCACAAAAGCTCCTGCCAGATCTCACCAAAGAAATCTACCACTTTTGCTTTCGGAAGAAATCAACCTCTGGGCAGAGCACTTGCTGAGTTCGGACAACCTTCTGACTGATTGGTTGTCCCGAAACTGCCGCAACTTCAGCAACTGGAGACTGGACCTGGAGATATTCAGACGGCAGGACCAGCTACGGGGCCCTCTGGACTTGGATCTCTTTGCTTCCCTCCTGAGCCATCAAATGACGGATTACTTCAGTTGGATTCTGGCTTTGAAATCAAACAGTGGATGCCTTTCTACAAGTGTGGCCTATGATGAGTTCATATGCTTTTCCACCATTCTCGATGATCGCTTGATTTTTTTAACCTTGTGAAGAGACAAAAGGTGTCAATCGTCTTCATTACTCTGCTGTAGCGGTTCCAACCCAGTTTTTCCCGGCCTGCTTGAATAGTCAGCAGTGGACTCCCTGCTGCTTCCCCATCATCTGTCACTTCTCCTTGATCCTGCCAGGAACTCTCATCTATTGCTCCATCAATGAATGCTTGATGCTTGTGGCCTTGTAGATTTCCGGGGATCCTGGGATATGTTGGGACTATCTGCATTGTGGGACTCCTACCTTTCCGCATGGCGTGTGTGGCAACATTGGTGCCTAGATGAACATGTGGTTACCTTTATGGCTTTTGGAGTAAAGGTCCTTAACTTTTTGTTGTCTCCTAACGCTCAGGGTAGGTTATACTGAGCTATCAATCTCTTTCGTTTGGCGATTTTGGTGGCCCACATTCCTTTCTCTGTGTCCCTCTAAGCAATGGAACCGTCGGTCTGTCGGCCTGCCTCATAAGCCTCCGTCATTGCAGTATTCCACCTTCTGGGATGTCTCTTTGGTGTTGGATTTTTTTACCCATCTGGCCTGAGAATTACCTTTTGTCTCCAGGTTGTGCGTGACTCGCTGTGTTCGGGTTTATTTGACGGCTAAGTCCTTTCGTCATTCTTCCCACTTGAGTCCCTTCTTGATCTCCTATGCTCACCCTTACAAACCTGCTAAGACTCCTACAGTGGCTTGCTGGATCTGATGGCTTCTTGTTTTAGCAAGTGTTGATGGTTCCTTTGGGGCCCACTCAATTTGTGGTGCGGCGGCATTGACTGCCTTTTCGTTGGCCAGCTTTCTGGCAGGTGTTTTGGCTATGGTTGCGGGAGTCCATGTTTTGTACTTTTATTTTTGTCTGCGTCCTCATGCGTCTTTGCTCTGGTTTCTCAGCATTAGAAGAGCAAGTATGAAGTCTCTTGTCTTGTGTTAAATTTGGAGATTAGCCTAACCTTGAAGATCATATAGTCTAAATGTTAATTAATAAAAACAGGAGGATGACTATCTGGCCCGTCCGTATGTGTTTCCTCCCCCCCTTTTTGTTTCTGTGTTTGTTATTTTTTTTCTTTATGCCTCTCTGAGGTTTGTTCCATCTACTTGATGCATGACTCCTGCCTCTTTCATGATGCTCTGCTTTGTTTTGTATTTGTACTTTTGTCTTGCCTGCTACTGATTTGTTCTGTTTGTTTAAAATATCGTTCTGATAATTGCTAACTGTTAGACTTTATTGCATGCCCTTGTACTTTCACGTAGCCTCTAAGGTTGATTGTTTGCATGCTTTGCCATAATGGCTGTTCCCATACTATCACATCTTTTATTCTGTTTTCTTTTAGTTTGAGGCTCCTAGCTTTCCCATTTTGATTATAGACCATGCTTCCATTGTTTCTTCGGTTCTCCCACGTTACATTTGTCTATCCCCTGCCTGTATTGCATCATCAACGAAAGAGGATGTAGGAGGGGTGTATTGGGGTTTTATTAATTGTTCTGTTTGATTGGTTGATCATTTGTTCTGAACTTAACTCCCTGTCTAAAGGTTCCAATAAAGGAAGTGAAGCAAATATCTGCCACTTGTATATTCAAATATGGACTATACCTTCACTAAGGCAAAGCTAATTACGAATTCTCACTTTTGTTTCTGTCCATGCAGCCCTAACCAAAATCTCAGCTGGCTGTGAATCACACAGCCTGCAAGAAAAAAGTGCTTTAAAATGTATCTCCTGCTTTGTAAATTGAAGTTTAATCACATACAGGAGGCTTCTGCAAGGTCTAACGAACTATTAACAGTGCAGGGAATAAGACATTCTAAATGAAATAGAATTTGCAATAAAAGAAATGTAAACTTTTAGTCTTACTTTACAGAAAGTGAATAGCAGGCTTCTCCAAACCCCGGCAGTCCAGATGTTGCTTAATTACAACTCCCATGATTCTATGAATGAAATAGATGGGCTGAGAATCATGGGAGTTGTAGTTCAGCAACATCTGGAGGGCCGGAGTTTGGGGAAGCCTGGTGTATAGGAATACTGTGCAGGTTACATGCAGTGAGGTGTGGCTTGGACTGTTTAAACTCCTAAATGGCAGAGAATTGAGCAGTGAGCATGATCTATACACCAAAACTACTTTATTACGCTGACATTTTTTGGTAACTATATTGTCCCTTTTAGTTACCGAGTACACCACTGACATTTACTGCTAAATCTCCAGTGAGGTGTAAAATTATGTTATCATGCCAGGCTCTCCCTGTTCCTGCCATTCATTAGTGCTGCTAGAATTGCAAATCAGCTGCATATACATCCTATAGTATTTCGTCCTCTGAACCCTCACTGTACAAGAACTATGTGGTTTGTACACTATACAATTCCTAGGAGACTTGCAGAGTTCTTTTATAAATTTCTATAACAGAGCTTGTACAGCAGCTGTGAGTACTTGTATATAAAATAAGGAACCACCCAGTGACTTCTATTAACTTGTAATTTCATCCATGTCTATTCAATAAAAACTCAGCCAGAAACCAATAAACACAATCAGCTTGTTCACACTTTCATAAACTGATCTAATAATTTCCAAACTTTCTTACATTTTCCCTGGTGTCTGGAGTTAAATATTTGGATTAGAAATTTGCATATGGCACTTGTGTACTGTTGATTTTCACTATAAAGCACAATGGAAGCATTTTGGAACATTGGAGAATGGACTTGCTGAGTCGTACAATGTAATTCACTAAAGTGAGAATTTGGAGTATATTCAAAGTGAATTTTAAAATTAAGGCCAAAATAGCATTAATAGAAAAAAGTCTCAAAATTGGCTATTTTGGCTTGAAATTTGATATTCACTTTGAATTCTCACTTTAGTGAATAACCATTCGTTTGGTAACTGGCTAAGCAGTATCCATAATTATCATGTTCCAAAGTATTATAAACCTTCTAATGTGATTTGGAAAAAGTAGTTGCTACTTTGTCTTATGATATGTTTTTAATATTTGGGAATTTCTGTGAAATTCCAATACAGTCAATGTTAGTATTTAACTCACAGAACTGCTATAAACGTTGACACTAAGTGGATTTGTAAGCTTGATACAACCAGCACTAGTGGTCTTATTTTTTGATGACGTTGCCAGGGGTACCAAAATGTGATTTTTACTTTGTAAAGGTAAATGAGCAGAGTATTTTGGATTTTCTTATGTGTTTTTGTTATTGTCAAAGGGGCTATTGCTGGGCTATCTCAGGACTGTTGGTAGTTAAACTTCTACCTTATGGGTCTTTCTGGCATTGGACTCGCTTACTCTCTACGATCTTTTTCCAAACAGGAGGATTGGTAATTATACTGGAACTGTTATTCCAACACAAATATGGTTTGGACATTTGTGCACTAAAATTTGGATACTCTTGGACACTTTTTCATTGATTTTATCCAAGTAAAATTTTATTTGCTTGCAGTAAAGTGCACAATGATAATTAGGAATTCAGAGGTCTGACACACAGAGAAAAATATAATCTGCAATGTGGTGGTTCTGTGTTATTCCCCATGATGATAACAGGAATGTTGTTTTTATATCCCAGCAAGGGATCTAGCACAATATTAAAGGGACACTATGGCCACCAGAACCACTACAGCTTAATGTAGTGGTTCTGGTGTCTATATCATGTCCTGTAGCCTTTTCAATGTGTCCATTGCCTTTTCAAAGAAAAGGTAGTGTTTACACTGCTGCCTAGTAACATTACTAGGTGCAGTCGCTCAGACTGACACTGGAGGTGCTCCCTACGCATTGATTTAAGCATTGGATTGGCTAAGATCATGGGTCCTCAAACTCCGGCCCCCCAGATGTTGCTGTACTACAACTCCCATGATTCTTTGAATTACATAGATAGCCAGAGAATCATGGGAGTTGTAGCAACATCTGGAGGGCCAGAGTTTGAGGGGCCATGGCTAAGATCATCAAGACTATGTTTGTATACATTTTTACTTCATATTGAGGGGAGTCACCTAAACTGCTATTCTAGCACTATAGTGTTAGGAATACATGTTTGTATTCTTAACACTATAGTGTTCCATTAAATAATAGCGGTGAAAGTAGGCAGATTGGTGACTCGGAAACTGAGACAGATTGGTGACTGATAGTAAATCAGATTGAGTTATACAGTAATATCTTGGTTCATTAATGCTGTGGGCAAGGGTGCATCAAGAGTCTGTCGCTAGGGTGCAAGATATTTCAGTACCTCTCTGTAGTTTAATTAAGCACTATCTCCTCAAAAAACAAAAACTTTTTGAGAAAACTCTGTAAATCTGTTTGCTTGGCCTCCCAGTGCTCCTCTGACCTCACAGTGCTGCTCTGACATCACTATGCTCCTCTTAGCTGACAGTGCTGCAGCTGCTTCATTTAGTCATTGCACTGCATAGCAGCCAACTGAACAGGAGGCTAAGAGAGCAGTAGCAAATTCATTATTTGGTATTACACAGCTATTGATACCAGCTAAATATATAATCATGGCTGGACAACAGCCTAAGAAGGGTGAACCCTCTGAGCGCCAGGAGAAAGAACACCAAGGCGACCACCCCTGTATAATATGGACTGGGGGTTCAGAAAAAACGCCAGTGGTGAAATTTCAAGCAGAAGGCGCAACTGGAAATGTATGCCTGCGTGAGGTGGGAGAACGCTACCACCTGGCATACAAGATGGCTCGTATCGGGAATAGCCCGGTCAGCACAATGCTATCTGCTCATGGGTTTCAGAAAGTGGAAGACAGCAGCAGCAATTTCAATTTGATGTGGACAGGACCATACATTAATGCTTCTGTCTTGGCAAATCTTTCCAAATATCAGAAAATCAACCACTTCCCCAATTCTATGGAGTTGGGACGCAAGGATCTACTCTGCAAAAACATTCAAACCCTGCAGAAGAAACATGGGGCCCAGACATACAACTTCCTACCCCAGAGTTATGTACTACCCAATGATAACCAGGAATTCCGCAAAGTTATTTCCAAGGATCAAGGCCCCTGGATCTCAAAGCCTGTCTCTGCCTGTCAAGGCCGCGGAATTCAGATTATCAATTCCATCTCTCAAGTAAACAGAAAGGAAAAACTCCTAGTCTCTCGTTACATAAAAAATCCACTTATTGTTGACGGTTTTAAATTTGACCTACGCCTCTTTGTACTGGTCACGTCATATGATCCACTAATTATTTACTTGTATGAAGAGGGTCTGACAAGGTTTGCCACCAATAAATACAAACCAACGGAGGAGAACATGAAAAACATATATATGCATTTGACTAACACCAGCATAAACAAAGCAAATGCAAACTATGTGAGATCCACAAATCCGGAAGTGGAAAATCACGGCAGTTTATGGAGCATGGGTGCTTTGCTGCGTCACCTAAAGGGAATAGGAAAAGACACAGCCACGCTCATGTCTAAAATAGAAGAGCTTGTTATTAAGACCATAATATCGGCAGAAGGCTCTATTGCCTCAGTGTTTCAAGGAACTCTCGCTGACAGAAGAAAGTGTTTTGAATTGTACGGCTTTGATGTCCTAGTTGATGAAACCTTAAAGCCCTGGCTGTTGGAAGTTAATCTGATGCCATCTCTGGTTTCTGATGGACCCCTTGAGTTAAAAATCAAGGCAAATCTGCTTGCAGACACTCTGACATTAATTGGTGTGCAGTGTCAAAATACCCAGCAGAATATGGACAAAGGGACCACAATAGCCACAAAAGTAAAAGCAGGACATCAAAAGACAGCTGCTGGACAGACCGAAACCTCCCTCTTCCAAGAGAGGTTGAAGATCATTCATGAGGTCAAGGAAGAGGAAGAGAGGAGAGGCGGTTTTATTCGAATCTTCCCCCACAAGGACACGTGGAAGAAATATAGCAATTTCTTGACATACAAGTCCTTTAATAACATGCTGGCTTGTCATCTTTTTACAAAGAAGTCATCAGAGCCGGGAACCAGCAGTAGTGGACTTGGGCAACACTCTGCGCTGTATGAGCGAAAGCTGCCGTTATTGCAGACAAACAACCATGAGATGGCACTCAAGCAAGGCAGTCCATTTCATAGTAGAACAACTCCCAAGGATGTGAGGAGACAGGGAGTTACATCTTTAGTGACATGCAAACCCCTTAAGAATATTCAACCTCGCCATCTCCATGCAGCAAAGATGTCAGATCCAAACGCCAGCAGTGTTGTTCTGCGTGGCCAAAAGCAGCCATTACTGCAGACAAAGAAGTCACTCAGTCCATCAAGATCTTCTCACATAAGCAATGAAAGAGCTTCCAAGGAGGTGGAGAGACAGAGAGTGTCCAATTTAGTGAACTGCAAACACTTGGATAGCATTCGGCCTCCCCATTTTTTAGCAACAAAGCTGTCAGATCAAAAATCCAGCAGTAGTGAACCCTCAGTGCTGTATCAGCGAAAGCTGCCGCCATTGCAGACCAGCAGGCCCATGGATCATGTGATGACACTCAAACCAGTTACTCAATTTAATAGTAAAAAAGACTTCACACAAAAATCTGGGTATAGGTCAGTAAGTCCATCTAAAATATTTCATCAGAGCAGCAAAAGAGTTCCCAAGGACATCAGGAGACAGGAACTATGTGGCATCAGGGACTCTAGCACAGACTCTGGAAGCATGAGACTAGTTGATCCACAGCCTACTCTTTTGTACGGTTCCAGTGATCTATTAAACATCATCACTGGCTTCTCGTCCACCTACCACCAACTTTGCGCAGAACTCGATCGGCTATAGTGGCACCAGGATGCACCCGAATCTGACACAAAACCAAAAACAGGTATAATATTACAATGATATGTCTGCTTTCTGTCTTACAGACAACCTCAAAAATGTGAATTAAGACAAATGTTAATGTCTGTAAGACTTTTCTTACAGCTATTGTAAAAGCTAATCTTATGCTTATCCATAATACATTCCTATTCCATATTGCATATCTAGAATTCTCCATGGATAGCTAGCATCTTCATTGTAAAATGTATTTTATGTGGCCATATGTGACCATTTTTTCTTGTCTTTGTTTTTTTTTTTACTAACCTTAGGATGAGCTGATTGGAGGGACTAGAACAAGAGGATCTAGAAAATAATGTTCTGGAGCTTTGTGGTTTAATTGTTCCTGATGCATCTTTACTATCAAAGCCAGGTAAGACTGGTAGTAGCATTTCTACTGCTCAGTTAGCCAGAGACAGACAGACCTCAACCTGTGCTGACCCTGACCGAGCGCTTACAGGGAAACTATAGTTCTAGGAATACAAAGTTGTATTCCTAGCACTATAGTACCTTCTAGTGCCCCTATCCCACATGCTGTCCCTCAGCAGCGCAGAAAGGGTTAAAACACTTTTGTCACTTAACTGACTCCAGCGCCGATGTCCCTCAGTGCTGCGTCAGGTTCCGCCTCCATTCCTCCTCCTCCCCCGACGTTGGGTACCTAAAGTTCACTGGCGGCGATCACTATAGCTATCAATGCTTTGATCTGGGATTTTAGCAGACCCTGGAGGTCCTCATGCACAGTGTGAGGACATCCAGCGTTAGTTACTTAGGTGACTAAAAGTCGTCTAACGACCCAGAATCGTCTCTGGTGGCGGTCTGGTAGATAGCAACTAGAGATGGAGTTTATCCCTGCAATGTAATTATTGCTGTTTATCAATGACTGCAATAATTGCAATTATTAAACCGATGGACATTGCACCCAGACCACTTTAATGAGCTGAAATGTTCTGGGTGCCTATAGTGCACCTTTAAAGTGGAACCCTCACCTCCATGGCATTTTACTATTATGTTTATTTATTTCCTAAAGTGGTTATTAAAAAAGACTCGACATACCCCATTTGCCATGATGGGGGTAATTCTCATTTATGGGCAACCAGTGGCTTATCCTGCTCTGATAGGTGCAGTGAGTGAGGAAGAGGCGGGGCAGGAGGATGGGAAGTCATATCACTTACTGTGCTCTCCTGTCCTGCGGAGTGAAGAGGAAGAGCAGCCTGGCAAAGACACTATGTATGCTCCTCTCTGCACAGCCCCCTCCCTGCTCCCTCACAGTCCACCTCTCCCTCTATACTCTGACAGTCCGTCTCTTTGCACAGCCCCCCCTCCCTGCACAGACGCCTCTCCCCCTGCACCCTGGCAGCCCCCTACATCCCCTGTACAGATCCCCTTTCCCCTGCGTCCCCTGCACCCTGTCAGTTCTCCTGCCTTCACGGTACAAATCCCCTCTCACCTGCCTCCCCTGCACCCTGACAGTTCACCTCCCTTCCCTGCAGAGATCCCCTCCCTACCCTGCACCCTGATCATCCCTCTCCTGCACAGATCCCATCTCTCCCCCTGCTTCCCCAGCACCCTGACAGATCCCCTCTCTGCCTGCACAGATCCCCTCTCTTCCTGCCTCCCCTGCACCCTGATAGTTCCTTTACTTTCTCTTTTATTTTCATGTGTTCTCTTGTTGTGTTGTCGTTTTTGTTTTATTTTTTACTTTGCACTAATGCCTTTCTTGTTTCCCTTCAAGGAGCACAAGGAAAGTGCTAACCTGCTTACTGTGTTTCACCACATTGCGGGCACATACTTACAAACAGGTACAATATTACAATAAGTCTGACAAGAGTTATTTTTAAGACAAAAAGCAACAAAACCAAAAACATAAATTAAGACAAAATATTCAGGAAATAGGAGAAAGTGATATATAGAATCCCACGAGGGGAAACTAACATCAGGAGAGCTCCACTAGTATAAGAAATGAGGAAGGGGGGCCCTACCTTTAATCAGTCTAAGGCAGGGCTGCCCAACAGGTAAATCCCCCAAGGTTGTAGAACTACAACTCCCATGATGCTTTGCATGAATTTAGAATAAACTGAGAATGACAAAGCATCATGAGAGTTGTAGTTCTACAGCATCTGGGGATCTACCTGTTGGGCACCCCTGATCCAAGGATAAAAAGGGATATGCAAACAAAAAGTATAACTTGAAAAAGGGGAGAGCTACTAAACGGTGCCAAGGGGGTCTATTATCTGGAGTAATAAATACTCTAAGTTCCAGTTCCCCTAGTGTCCGACTGACGGGAAGGTAGTGTAAACGAGGTTAGGGAGAGAGAAAAGGCACAGGGTCCACAGAGAACAAGGGACCAGGTAATCTGCTCTAAACGCAGATGAAAAGCCTCAAAGAGGCATATCCCTTTTTATCCTTATACTGATTAAAGGTACGGCACCCCTTCCTCATTTCTTATGGCAGAGGAGCTCTCCTGATGTTAGTTTCCCCTTGTGGGATACTATACATCACTTTCTCCTATTTCCTGCATATTTTAGATGGTTACCCTCTTATTGGAGCTCCCTATTAGGTGGTTACAGTGGCGTAGCTCACTAGCCCTTGACTTGTATCCGGACTTCTGACCTGTACTCTGTTTACTTTAAGATAGAATATTAATATGCGTTAGACATTTCTGCTGAATATATGCTATTGTGAAAGCTAATCTTATTCACAATATATTTCTATTTCATATTGAGTATGCAGAATTCTCCAGTGACAGCTAGCATTGTGTTTGTAAAATGTATTTTATGAAGCATGGGTTTCCCATTTCTTTGTTATGTGTTTTTTTTATAACCTTAGGATTGGCTAATTGGAGGGACTGAGACAACAGGATCTAGAAAATAATCTTTTAGAGCTTTGTGGTTCAGAAACTGTGCCTCTATTGAATGTGCTGTGGGCATCTTTACCAGCAAAGCCAGGTAAGGCTCCAGTAATAGCATTTCTACCATTCAGTTACCCAGATATAGACAGACCTCAACTTGTACTGACCCTGACCTGAGCGTTTAAAGTGGAGCCGTCATCTCCCTGTGATTTTACCATTATGTTTACTTATTTCCTATTTTTAATAAAGCATTTACAAACTGTTGCTCTTCACATGAAAATTGCTTAACCTCTGGTTTGACAAGTCTTTCCAAGAGTAGTACATTACGTCTTTAGGGTATTCCATACCGTCTGCATCATACAGGGCTTTAAAGCCTTTGCGGCGGCAAGGAACGCCGTAACTGCTTTATGCCCTTGGACCTAACTCTGACGCGATCCGCTTTGGAAGGACTGCCTGACAGCCTTAATCAGGTCCCTGCGGGCCAAGTGATCACTCTAACAATGCAATCACTTGGCTTCAATAGGCGTCTATGGGGCTGTCAGGCAGTCCCCCTAGCGCTGCAAAAGCAAAACAATATAGATTATAATATATATATATACACACATAAAAATAATTTTAAAATATATATATATATATATATATATACATATAATTACATAAATATACACAAAGAAATAAAATAGATACATATGTGTGTGTGTATATGTATATATATATATATATATATATATATAAAATATGTCAAACCCCTGCACTCCAATAAAAAGATATATTTTACCTGGTGCTCTGGTAGCTCAATTGTAGAAAGTGGAAAGACCGGCACTCAAGGAGTTTTAACAGCTTTTACTGTGTAAAGATAAATCAACGTTTCAGCTCCACTAGGGAGCTTTCATCAGGACATATATTTAAATTCTATGTATATATTTATGTAATCTTTTGATGTAATTATGTGAGTTTATTAATTACAATTTGAAAGACCTGCCTGACAACCCAGGCAGAAAGTCCAGAGAATTTAATTTGCAAGCCCTATATTTAACCATGTAACTTTCCAAAATCCCATAGAACCTGTACATGTACGGGAGACTTCCCTGAACACAAATATTAGTGTTTCAAAACTGGAAAAATGGACCACAACAATGATATAATCAGCAAAAGTGCAGTTTTTAATTTAAAAATGCAAATAACAAATATGAACGCTAACTTTGGCCAGCGTTTGTTACTAAGTGGTTACTAAAAAAGACTGGACATACCCTATTTGCCATGATGGGGGTAATTCTCATTTATGGGCTACCAATGGCTTTTCTGCAGCCTGGCAGAGACACCAGGTATGCTCCTCTCTGCACAGCCCCCTCCCTGCACCCTCACAGTCCACCTCTCTCCCTATACTCTGACAGTCCCTCTCTCTGCACAGCCCCCCTCGCTGCACAGATCCCCTCTCCCCCTTTCCCCCGGTAGTCCCCTTACGTCCTCTGTACAGATACCCTTTCCCCTGCGTCCCCCTTCCCCTGACAGTTTTCCTCCCTCCCGTTACAAATCCCCTATCACCTGCCTCCTATGCACCCTGACAGTCCCCCTCCCTTCCCTGCACAGATCCACTCACTACCCTACACCCTGATCATCCCTCTCCCTCCCCTGCCCAGATCCCATCTCTCCCCCTGCTCCCCCCGCACCCTGACAGATCCCCTCTCTGCCTGCACAGATCCCCTCTCTTCCTACCTCCCCTGCACCCTGATAGTCCCCCTCCCTCCCATGCCCATATCCCCTCTGTCACTGCACAGCCACCCCTCTCTGCACTTTGGCAGTCCATCACTCCCCCTGCACAGATCCTCTCCCTCCCCTGTACTCCCCCCCCGCACAGACCCCATCCATCCCCTGCACTGTCCCCTCCCTGCACTACCAACAGACCCCCTTCCTCCCTGCACCCTCACAGCCCCCATGCACAGACCCCCCTCTCTCTCTGCACCCTTCACTGCCCCCCTCCTCATCCCTCCCTGCACCCTCCACAGCCCCCCTCCACACACCCATCCCTCCCTGTAAAAAAAAGTATATTAAGGTGCTTCAATTGTTTTTTTGTTCAAGTGTATAATAAATTCTTTAAGCTGCTTTTCACTCCTAAGTATTTCCTTTCACACTAATAAAAAGTTAATAAATAATTAATATTTAATAATTAATCATTAACTAATAAAACGTTAAATATACTGTAGCTCTACAGTAACAATAACTTTTTAAGTAATGTTCTGCCTAAATGGGCAGCCACCCCTCCTAAAATCACTGTTTAGTACATATGCCCCCAATGAATTACATGCGTGAATTTTTCAGACATGTATCCATTGGGTGTATATCTTAAAGCTTGAAAAGGTTGTAAACTTTGTTGAGCTAGAGGCGTTGAGTACTTGAAATTCATGGCAAATTCGTTGCTCAATATATATGCCCCTAACAGGCATTCGTTGAAATTTTTAAATAATCTAACGAAGGTGGAGAAACTGGTGCAGGGAACTACTCGTAGGAGGCGACTTTAACTATTATTAATAACTATTATTGATCCAGCATTGTTTAAAATATCTCGGGCAAAAAAACAACCCTCAGAGAAGATCTGATTATCAATTTTGGAATATAATAAATACATTTGAATTATTCGATATCTGAAGAGTAATGCATCCAGATGTATTAGATTTCACCTTTTTTTCTAAACCACGTGTCATATTCTCGTTTTGGATAATTTTTTCAGAAAACCATATTTAATTAAATAAGACAGTTTAGCTAAAGAAATGACATGGTCAGATCATTCAGCTATTTATATAGACATTGAGACAGGTTTGGATGGGGGATCTCATTTGTCTTGGAGGTTAAATGAGAAATTATTGAGTAACGAATCTAGTTGTGAATATTTAACAACTATGATGAAGTTCTTTTTTAAAGAAAATCTAGATAGAAAAATTCTTCTCACAACAGTTTGGTGTGCTTTCAAAAGTGTTGTTTGATGATATATTATAAAGATAGGTGCAGAGATTGAGGAAAAAATATGAGCGCCCTCCTAACTTGATATATCTTGAATTATATAATCTAAATAAATCCTCCCCTACAAAAGATTTGATCGCAAAAAGAAATACTTTAGAAGAAAAGATTAATACTACTCTTTGGTCTAAAGCGATTTATACTCTACAAAAATTAAACCAGAAGTGGTATTATAAGGATAATAGGGCGGATAAAATGTTGTCAAATAGACTGAAAAATCGTAAGGCTAGGACAAGAATTGAAAAAATAGAAGTCAATGGAAGTAGTTTTATTGATCCTAAAGCCATTAGTGAGGCCTTTAACAATTATTATGCAAGGTTATACAATCTTTCGTCATGACCATTAGAAGAAGATATTAATAATTATTTAGCAAGAACAGCTCTTCCTAGATTATCAGATGAACTACTATCGGACTTAAATCTACCTTTTTCTGAAAAAGAAATAGTGGATGTAATTAACAATTTTAAAATGAAAGCACTAGGACCTGATGGGTTCACTAATCTTTTTTATAAAAAATGTAAAAATTATTTAGTCCCACATCTAGTTAACACCTTTAACGAGATTAGAATGAAGGGAATAATACCAAAAGAGATGCTGCAGGCTTATATCTCTCCAATCTTAAAAGTAGGAAAGGACCCCACCTCCACCGCAAATTATAGGCCAATATCATTGATTAATTCTGATATTAAAATCTATTCTTCAGTAATAGCTAATAGATTAAAACCTTTAATTCCACGTCTATTACACCAAGATCTAATGGGTGTTGTACAAGGCCGTGCTTTAAATAACAATACTCGAAGATTATTGGGTCTGATTGACTATTCGAATAGGACCGGTGTCCCCATGCTAACCCTGTCTCTTGATGCCAAAATGGCATTCGACAAGGTCAGCTGGGGATTTATGTCTAAGACTCTAGAGAAATTCGGATTTAATGGTCTAATAAGGTCTGCAATAATGGCCCTATATGATGAACCGACGGCTCAAACAGTAGGCCCAGGTATTTCAGCCAAATGGTTTAGAGTTCAAAACAGCACCAGACAGGGCTGTACACTAGCCCCTTTGCTGTACATTCTGATTCTGGAACCATTGACAGCTTATATTAGAGCTGATTCTCAAATTAGGGGTGTTATGTTAGATGACACTGACCATAAGTTGTGCTTATACGCAGACAATATCATTCTTACCCTGACAGACCCAGAAGTCTCTTTGGCTGCCTTGGTTTCAGAAGTCGGGAGGTACAGTGAAGTTTCTAATTATAAAGTCAATATGGCAAAATCTCTAATGTCTGTAAATCTTAGTTCTATTGCAGGGGAGACCCTAAGATTGGAGTATCCTCTTGAATAAACCACAGATGGCCTTATGTACTTAGGGATTCATTTTTCTCAGAATCTAGCAAAAATATGTTTGAAAAATGTTGAAATCCTTTTTAAAGATACTAGTGTAAAATGATTGAACGAATGGAAAAACATGGGTATCTCTTGGGAAGAGTGAATGTTATCAAATCATATATTCTTCCTAAATTGTCATACGTCTTTAGTAAAAGTCCATAATCTCTTCATGAATTATATATGTGGTTTTAAGAAACCTAGAATCTCAGCTTCACATTTAATGAAGAAAACCAATAAAGGGGGCTTAGCAATCCCAAATATTATTAGATATTATGTAGCAAGCAGGAGTTTTCATTTAAGGAGGTGGCAGACCTCAAAGGCAGTTAACAAGTCATGGTGTAAGATAGAGTCGTTCCTATTGAAAGTTAGGGACCTCTGCCCTGATTTGGTCTTAATAAGGGAGCAAGTACTAAGTTTATGTTCTCAATTAAATGTAATTTTTAAGGGAATTATATTTTGATTGGTTTAAATATAGAAGGAAGAATAGGATATTGGATAAAATTGCTAAAGGTAGCCCTAATACTACTATACAAGGTAACATACTAGATTTAAACTTAAAAAAATTAACAGTCTCCCCTCTTTGTTGTAGGTTTAAGTGTTGTATGGGCAGTTCAAAGCATATTTGGTGGGATTGCTATTTGTTGACTATGATATGGAAAAGGATAATAAATGAATTAGTTAAACTAGTGGGTCACAAACTGGGGAACGATTTTCAGGTTATTATGTTTTATTTTAATCTCTCGACTCAAAAAATATATCTATTAATTCATTTGACAATGGCTGCCAAAGTTGCTATCTCTAGATTTTGGCAAAAACAAGAGATCCCTTCCTGGCCTTATATTTTAAATCAACTCAAATATCCATACACAATTGAGAAAGGATTATATTATGAAAGAACGAATGGTATAAAAAAAAGATGGCAACCTTGGTTGGGTACCCTAATTAAGATTTGATTTGCTATATTCGATATAAGACTGTTTGCCCAAAATACTAAGTAAAGCTACATAGTCTGACTCTTAGATAGGATGGGACAATGAAGGAATCTGTTCTGTTTATTGAATTTGCTGTCACGAATGTCCGCGACTGCATCGAACATGACGTGGGTTGAGATAAGGGCGGCCAACTCAGGGGCAGCCCCAGGCGGCAAAAGCTCTAGCTACGCCACTGTGGGCCACCATAATTAATCTTTCAAATTTCCAATTGCAAAAATGGAAATGAGCAAGTCTTATATTTGACCCTGTAATTTTCCAAAACACTATAAAACCTGGACATGGGTTGTTGTGCTCGTGAGTCAAATTTGATTGTTTTAGAGCAATAAAACATATAATCATCTGTGAAAGGGCAGTTTATTTGTGAAAAATGAAAAAAAAAAAAAAAAACTAAAATGAACCCTAACTTTCGCCTGCGTTTGTGTCACAGTGGCTACTAAAAAAACTGGATATACCCCATTTTGAATACCCCGAGTTGTCTACTTTTTCAAAAGGTATATCATGATGGGGGTTAATTTCATTCCTAGGCTACCATACTGTCTCAGAGGCAACATAGGCCCAGCAATTCAATCTGAGAAATGTTAATGTGTAAAAACTGTAAATGGGGAAAGCCCTATATTTAACCCTGTAACTTTTCAAAACCTCATAAAACTTGTACACGGGAGGTACTGTTGTACTCATGTGATGTTGCTAAATACAAATATGTGTATTGTATTGCAGTAAAAGCTAACAGTATTTTGACATTCACAGTTAAAATGTCTTGCAGAACTTAAAAAAATAACATTTCTTAATTTCCCAATTTTTTTTAGATTTTATTCATAATTATATATGAATATTTCATGTGACCTGAAAGCCCTCTTTCTCCTGAACACAATTATATATAATAAGTGTAGATGTACTTATTATGGAAGAGGTGTATTATGGTTGAACAGACCTTTAGCGCAAATTCCAGGTTTTGTTTTGATTAGAATGTATACAATTGACTCCATCCTTAATGCATTAATTTATCTTTTTATTTTCGTGTTTTCTCGTGTTGTGTTGTCTTTTTTGTTTTATTTTTTATCCTACACTAATGCCTTTCTTGTTTCCCTTCAAGGAGCACAAGGAAAGTGCTGACCTGCTTACTGTGTTTTACTACATTGCGGACACATACTTACAAACAGGTACAATATTACAATATGTCTAACTAGAGTTATTTGTAAGATAAACCAAAAGTATAAATTAAGACAAATTAATAATATCTGTTAGACGGTTCTGTTAGACATACAGCTATTGTGAAAGTTAATCGGATATATTTTTATTTCATATTAAATATGCAGAATTCTACATGGATACATAGCATCTTGTCATCTTGTTTGTAAAATTTATTTTATGACGCATAGGTTTATAATTTTTTATTTATGACCTTAGGATGAGCTGATTGGAAGGATTGGAACAAGAAGATCTAGAAAAGGTTCTTCTGGAGCTTCATAGTGCAGAAGCTGTGCCTCTATCGAATGTGCGTGGGGCATCTTTACCAGCAAAGCCAGGTAAGGCTCTAGCAGTAGCATTTCCAGCGCTCAGTTACCCAGAGACAGAGAGATCTCAACTAGTGCTGACCCTGACCTGAGCGTTTAAAGTGGAACCGTTACCTCCCAGGTGTTTTACTATTATGTTTACTAATTTCCTATATTTAACAAATTTGTGCTTGTCTGTGCTTTGCCTGACAAATGAAATTAAACACAGAAATGAACAAAGTTCCTTTTTATCTGAGGTTGTGACTTTTACCGTGGTCCATATTGTAATGCAAAAGACATATATTAGGATCTAAGTTTCAATCTAGGAAGAAGATTAGTGTTTGCCACTAACTATTTTCTTTCTTTTTCTTTAGTCAGGAGGAGGATGACGATGACATGATATAACTAAAAAGCTGCAAAATACATTTTCAAATGACCTAGAATATCGTCCGGATGGAAAGACTTTGTTTGCCAGCTGGATCGTGTGTACTGGATGAACATCTCCCATCATTAACTGAACTGCTAACTAAGTAGACCTTGTCCCAGGTAGAATTGGTCTGGGCAAGGTGAGAATTGTTGATTTTGAAAATGAGCAATGCATTCCTATATATGTGTAATTTTATTTCATGTGGGCATTATCGTATAATAAAATGCCTTTATTGACAGACTCTGCAATCTGTATCGTTGCATTTATACAGCTGGACATTTACATATAAAATATGCATTTGAATGTGTGTTTAAATAGAAGATATTAGAAATGCCCACATTTATTTCAATCGATCAGTCAACCCTTGTGTAAACATATGAAAGAACATGTGATGTTTAAATGTATCACCTAATTTTGGTTATTAATTATTGAAATCTCGTTTACTTGAACCCACACTCAACAGAAACACATAAAACAGACTACAGACTGTGCTATTGTACTAGGATTTTTTTTATTCAAGGTCTATTCCACGTCTGTATATTTATTAAATGCAAACTAGAATTGTGTGCACATGTAGGCAGAGGTGACTCTAGACTTTATGAGGCCTTAGGCGAAACTCAAACATGAGGCCCCACTAACGCCAAAGATAAACATAGAGTTTAAATACATGCACACATATATACATTAAAGCACTATCTACCCGTGTATGTGCCTGAGAGTGTGGGTCTGACAGAGAGTATCCTTGTGTGAATGTATGTCTCTGTGAGCATGTTCGCGTTTTTGTCTGGGACCGTATGTGTATAAGGTAGCTGCTTGAAGTGTGTTGTGTGTGTGGGGGTCTGCCTGTGGCCTTTGTGCATTGTGTTTATGGAAAAGCTATGTTTCCTGACTGTGTGTGCATGATGAATGTCTTCAGCTGGTGACTGTGACAAGGTGAGTATAGGGGTACCAATAGCAGGGAGAGCGTGACCGAGCAAAGGGGTAAATGGGACAGGGTGGGGGGATTGTGAGAGAGAATGAGGAAGAGGGAGTATGATATGGTTTGATGAGGGAGTGTGGCAGGGTAAGTGGAAGTATATTTTTAGGAGAAAATATAATAAAAAGCACCTTACAAAGTACACGTATACTTTATACAATTTTCATACACCATTATTTATGTTTTTTATTTCTTGGATTGTATATGCTTAAAGGCACCCAGACCACTTCAGATAATTGAAGTGGTCTGGGTGCTGTGTCCCTATTGCACTTAGTGCTGCAATGTTAAGCATTGCAGTTCCAGAGAACTGCAATGTTTACATTGGAGCTCTAAGCCTGACCTCAGTGGCTGTCTACCAGACAGCCACTAGGGGCGCTTCCGGAATCGAAACGGATCTTTGGTCCGTTATCTGAAACTGGACGTCACTTTTTTCATATTATGTATCAGGGCAGAAAGATTATGTGTTATGAGGCAATCTTGTTTAGTGGGCTAGGATTTTACTGATACTAACCTCTATTACTTGGTCATTAGGTGTATTCCCTTAAATAAAGGTTTGTGAAGGGTAAACACATGCAAACGGAGTCTTATAGTTCACCTTTCTATCAATAGATTTAAATACAAAGGAAATGTATCATGATAAAATTTCATGATAGTCGAATACCACTTGAAATTATTAGCTGTCTCATAGATTGAAATTGTTCTGTTGATCTATGAGACAGCTCCTAATTTCAAGTGATATTCGACTATCATGAAATTTTAATCAATTAACTAATAAAGTTCATGTAAGTTTTATTGGTGAGGGTTCACCATGGAAATCAACTTACTAAAACCCTCCAAAGAAAATCAAAAAAGCAGCCATTAAAATAAAAAGAAGATGTTGTCGCAAGTTAAACTCGAACCCGGAAGGCTGTTGTGGCCACAGGGGCTGTATTGTATCCTATCATGTACAAAAATAAAATAAAGAATTTAAAAAAATAAAAAGAAGATAAACAAATAATGATAAACCTGACAGTCCAACATGATGGCTTGAAAATCCAGAACTACGAGCTCCCATGTGGTCAGAAGTAAAATATATGATTAATTACTGATAAGGAAAAGTTTATATTGTTAGTTTGAGGCTGGTGGATGAGATTATTAATACACCCGATGTCCAGGGGCTTTGAAACTCACTGCAGGATGGGTACAGATGAGGGTACATATTTTCCCCGACAATCATCTGACTGGACATCTTTTGGTCCTATATTGAAGGGGAGCGTTGTGGTACTGTGGTCGGGGAAGGAAGAGATGTAGCAATACCTGGTCTTAGATACATAGAATGTGACGGCAAAAAAGAACTATTCGGCCCATCTAGTCTGCCCAATTTTCTAAAATACTTTCATTAGTCTCTTATATCTAAGATAGCCTTATGTCTTTCCCACGCATGCTTATACTCCTTCACTGTATTAACCTCTACCACTTCAGCTGGAAGGCTGTTCCATGCATTCACTACCCTCTCAGTAAAGTAATACTTCCTGATATTATTTTTAAACCTTTGCCCCTCTAATTTAAGACTATGTCCTCTTGTTGTGGTAGTTTTTTTTCTTTTAAATATGGTCTCCTCCTTTACTGTGTTGATTCCCTTTATGTATTTAAATGTTTCTATCATATCCCCCCTGTCTCGTCTTTCCTCCAAGTTATACATGTTAAGATCCTTTAACCTTTGCTGGCAAGTTTTATCCTGCAATCTATGAACCAGTTTAGTAGCCCTTCTCTGAACTCTCTCTAAAGTATCAATATCCTTCTGAAAATACGTTCTCCAGTACTGCATACTGTTAAAAAAATGTAATCTGTTTAGTTTGGAAAAACGGCGCCTAGGAGGGCATATGATAACTTTATACAAATATATTCGGGGCCAGTACACACCTTTATCTGGAAATCTATTCATAAACAGGGCTATACATAGGACACGAGGTCACACATTTAGGGTGGAAGAAAGGAGATTTCATCTAAGGCAAAGAAAAGGTTTTTTTACAGTAAGAACAATAAGGATATGGAATTCTCTGCCTGAAGAGGTGGTTTTGTCAGAGTCCATACAGATGTTTAAACTGAAATTGGATAAATACTTACAAAAACATAACATACAGGGATATAATTTCTAATTAGTGGGGTAATAGCTGCTTGATCCAAGGAGACATCTGACTGCTATTTTGGGGTCAAGAAGGATTTTTTTCCTAGTTTGTGGCAAAATTGGAAGCGCTTCAGACCAGGTTTTTTGCCTTCTTTTGGATCAACAGCAACAACATTTGTGAGGAAGGCTGAACTTGACGGACGCAAGTCTCTTTTCAGCTATGTAACTATGTAACTTTGTAATACAATACTCCAAGTGAGGTCTCACCAAAGATCAGTTTGGCATGATCTCCCTGAAGTAAACCCATGTTGTCTCTGATCTTGAAATCCATGTTTTTTAGATGTTCAACAATCCTATCCTTTCACATGGTTTCCATTACTTTCCCCACTACTGAAGTAAGGCTTACTGGCCTATAGTTGCCCGACTCCTCCCTACTAGCTTTCTTATGAATGGGCCCAACATTCGCTAACTTCCAATCTTCTGGGGCTACTCCTGTTAATGATTGGTTAAATAAATCTGTTAATGGTTTTGCTAGTACACCACTAAGCTCTTTTAATAACTTAGGGTGTATTCCATCAGTTCCCATTGACTATTGTATTTTTATGTGTTACCTAGGGGCTTGATGACCTATATAATTTAGATTGTTAATACTCATCAGAACACGTTTAAATTGAAATATATATTGGCATCCTCAATCTTTTGAATCTAGTTAGATCCACCAGTGTTCTGTACAATGGCATGAGCACTTCCCTCTTTCTACTGCTAATACCTCTCCCTATACAACCAATCATTCTGCTAGCATTTCCTGCTGCTCTATTACATTGTCTACCTACCTTTAAGTCATCAGAAATAATCACCCCTAAATCCCTTTCCTCAGACGATGAGGTTACGACTATAAAATATTCTGTACTCTGCCCTTGGGTTTTTACGTCCAAGATGCATTATCTTGCACTTATCCACATTAAATGTCAGTTGCCACAACTCTGACCATTTTTCTAGTTTACCTAAATCATTTGCCATTTGGCTTATCCCTCCTGGAACATCAACCCTGTTACATATCTTAGTATCATCAGCAAAAAGACATACCTTCCCATCAAGACCTTCTGCAATATCACTAATAAAAATATTAAAGAGAATGGGTCCAAGTACAGAACCCGAGGTACCTCACTGGTGACAAGCTCAAGCTTCGAATATATTCCATTAACTACAACCCTCTGTTGCCTGTCACTCAGCCACTGCCTTACCCATTCAACAATATTGGAATCCAAACTTAAAATTGCAATTTATTGATAAGCCTTCTATGTGCAACAGTGTCAAAAGCCTTACTGAAATCTAGGTAAGCAATGTCTACTGCACCATCCTGATCTATTATTGTAGTTACCCAATCAAAAAAATCAAGATTAGTTTGGCATGATCTCCCTGAAGTAAACCATGTTGTCTCTGATCTTGAAATACATGTGTTTTTAGATGTTCAACAATTCCACCTATGGATACTTACCTGCATTTCCTACCAATAAGGTCAACGTTATTTTCAAAAAAAAATTTTTGACAACTAACTACATCGTAGGAGTTTTATGCTGGTAGTTTAAAAAAAAAATAAAAAAAAAAAAATATATATATACACACACACACACCTGTAGGTATATATATATAAAGAAATAATATCTTGAGTGATGCTTTTTTCTTTTTTATAGGATCTGCATGTTTCCTATTGACAGAAATTGGGAATTCGGATGCCATGATTGTTCTAATCCATTTTTACCATGACAACAAATTCTACATAAATGTAATAGATAAAAGGTACAAAATATGGTTTAGTAAATTGCTAAATTGGACATAATTTAATGAGACTGGCTGAAATACAGTTCTGGGGTAAACAACAATCTCCATTGTTGAGTGGTTGTAGAATCAGAAAGTAAGAGAACACTTCATGATATATCACAATATCACAATCATTTATCTATAGGGCAATTGTCCCTTCTCTGGATTGTCTATCATTGAATAAATTACCGACATTCACCTTTAACTTGTGCTAATCATTTTTTTATGAGGTCCTTTCTCTTACATTTATATAAAAAAATTAATAAATGTCATCATAATCTAGTTCAGACAAGTTAAAGCCAGGGCAAACATAGCAAATTACACGATATAATAGAATCATTGTTTAATTTCTCCTTTTTTCTCTATGGATTCTTTATGCTGATTGCCAGGAGCAAAGGACAGAGTTTCTATCAGCGATTGTCGGGGAGCTAAGATAGAATCACCAAATTGCAGAATGAAGTGTTGTGTATTTATATATGACATTTTTGTATTTTTCACTTCTCACAAATACATACCTGTTAAATATGGAGATGAGTAAACACAATATTAATAATCCTAATAATCTCTTTAAATAGAGAAACATAGAAGATGCTCAAACAAGGTATTCCTGAACGTTATGCTTTTTCTATGTGTCTTTACTTAGCAAATGTAAAGTATGTGACAGCTTGCGTACTCGTTAAATATACCTGAAAATTCCCGCTTGATTTAATTTTTTGAGTAAATAAAGGGTATTAAAAGATTTAATCTGACAGACAGAGAATGCACGAAACATTAGATTTCCAGGGTAAGGTCTAAACTGATAATGTGATTGCTACAATAACTAACGTGGTGATCCAACCAGTGAGCTGAGTAAATGTGACCTACATTTGATAAGTATTACATCTGCCTCGGTTCTATCGGTTAATTGGATCATTCTTAAATCATTACACATTACAATGGTCTATAGGTAACCAGTTTATCTCTCATTACCTATGCATTTAAGCAAAGTCACATTTTCAAATTAGCACTTGCTTTTGATTAAAGCAATTGTTTCCAAATGAGAGACGACCAAGAGCTCCCTTGACAATTCTTGCCGACAAATTCTAGGCCAGTGTCTGTGTAACACTGTTCATCAAGTATCAAGAGGGAAGCTTTGAAATGCTGCATCTGTTGAAAAATGCATCACGCTGATACTGGATGTGCCATGTGTGTAAATATGATTGTAACTGCATGTCTGGTCACAGTGTGCCAGAACGCAGCAGCTGTTGGATGACTGAAAAGCTTTGTATTAAGCTTTCTACCTCGGTTGTTGGGAGTGCTTAGTTGACACACAGGACCCAAAGCAAACATTTTAATTTTTAATCAATATTCTATGCATTTTCTTTATTAATTGAACAGTTATTTGGATAGTTGTTAATTTTTCCTCTGATCCCATAGTGAGTCTTTATTTATTTTTTTTATTTTATGGCTATTGCCTCACTGTGGAAACGATGGCTAGTTCTTTTAACCCTTGTAGACTTTATACCCAGATGACATTTTTTTGGAATTGGTGAAATAAAATATAACCATCCCATACAGACAGTAAATCTGCGTTAGTGTGGGAGTACTGAAATATTCATTGCTAATTCTTCAAGAGATAAAATCACGAGAATCTACTGTACACAATTGTCCTGACTAGATGTGAGCTGTCACTTGAATAACACTTAAATGATGTGAAATTGTGCATCATTACCATAAAAAATAGCAACGGTAAATTCATAGCATTCAATATTGTGACTTACCTCACATCTGTTGATGTATCTGTTGATACAATTTCTGTCCAATATTCTCATGTTGATCCTTTGGATTCATGCGCCAATAAGACAGCTCTTTAATAAAACAAGAAGAAGCAATTTAATAAAACTTCTCACACCGACTGAGGACAGTGTGTGCTGCAAATGAAGTGCAGGCTTCAAGCTGGATTAATAAAAATGATTACAAATGCAAGAATATTAAATGCTCCAACCGTAATAGGATCATCTGTCAATGTCTTAGGCACCCTTAAAAGATTACACATTGTCTTAGATATTTATACATTGTGCAATCTAAAATGCTAGCAAAAGTATAGATGAAAAAATAATGTAATAGGCCATTCAACAATCATTTGACCATTAAGTGACTGTAGGCTTTGTATGTTTGAATATTTTGCGCTACCAAACATTGACATGTGTGATGTGTGACTAAAAAATGCACACACCTGAATGTATTTAGGACACAGATAACCAGTTGCCACCATATCCCCTCTACAAAACACAATACCTGCATGTACGATCCCTCTTGACCCAGAACCCATCCCAATAACAATACCATCACTCTGTAGCACTTATGTAAACAAACTATTCTGGCACAAGTAGGTCTACATCAATCCACTAGTTGGTGAAGAGAGGGTGGCTAGGAGGTCAATTTTCTATTGACCCTTATCTCTACGACAAATACATGTTAGAGAAAAAGAACAATAAAATGTTTGTAAGCTAAATATAGAACTGAATGTTATTTTAATAAAAAAAAAAAAGTTGATTTCTGTTTCCTTTTATTTGCCAGCAACAGACTGAAGTTTCTTCAGTGCTATGCGTAAAACAATTTCTATCTATTCTTCCTTTTCGATGTTCTTTCGAATTGTGGAGCGAGATGTTGTGTTTAATTAACCAACACTTATAGCCTTTTAGAATTTTGTAAAGGAATTATCTCATCATAGCAACATCATCTCAAAGAAGTTGTTATGGGGTAAGAAAATTCTGGGCACCATCATACTGTCGTACTGGATTTACAATGTTTTAGAATGGTTTAACCATGAAGTCGGTCGTTTGACACTCTAATTCTATTACTGGTCTCCTATTGACAGTAGTAGCATGTACTATTACTCTCCACAGGTGGTCACTGATAGGATGAGAGTATCTGTTGATATTCTCAGCTAATCATTGGCCACCACACATACCTTCCTTGAGTGGACAGTGGTCAGAGTAGGAAAGAGTTGGTCAACAGGAGATCAACTAAGATGGCACCCAGACACTCCTGCCAAATAGCAACTTCACTGAGAGGAAACTGAATAAATTGAGCACATCAACAGCATAGAAGATGTGGCAGCCAATTGAGAAAGAGTACAGAAACGTAGACACTTTCATTGATTTAAAAAAATTAATTTTAATCATGTTCTAGGGATTAGAGTCCACATTTTACAGCTGGATTTGAGAAACCCCTGAACACTGGTGGGTTATTAGTGTGTTTGCAAGCCACAGAAGACCACGAGGCTATATTGGTTCTACTATTGGTTCTGATAATGCTCTCTCTTCACTGTCTTTGAAATCAACTTTTTTTTTTAACGAGTTGTAATGCTGCTCATAGGTTTAGATAACATGAGTAATTATAGGGAAAAATGTTCTGACTTATGCGAAAAGTTGTTTTTGAACAAAACTAAAATAAATGAAAGAATAAATGATCAACATGTTAGCCAGTAAATATTTGAAGGCTAAACATTCTTACAATGCTGGAAACATTATATCCAAGCACTGGACCACTCTCTCCATCAGAGCATTAAATCCTTTTTAGAAAAGACCCCATGGTTTATGCAACATTTATTGGGATGCTTACCCTTTCCTTGATAAATTGACTGAGTAACAACATATCTCTTCTTTTTTCTCTCTTTCTGATTCACGTCTGTTCCTGTTTAGGCTTACTTTACCAATTTATAGTTTGTTGTTCTGACCTTTCGGCAATCCAATTCTCATTCACTTTTGAACAAGCTTAAAGGGACAGTCCACCGCCCAAAGAAAAACAATAGATATCACTGTTTAGTATACATATATCCAAATGAAAGCATTAACTATGCATTTTTTTCCATTGGGGTATATCCAAAAGTAGTTTGCAAAAGCTGCAGATCTCTCGATTGCAGCCTTTACAAGTCCTCCTCTTTTAACCAAGTCCAGACTCTTTGTAGCTATCCAAACACAGACTTCCCAATAGAGCTCAATGAGTAGTAATTGCAAGAAAGTTTCTCTGGACAATAGCCTGCCTCTTGAGTTTAGCTCCAATGAGAGTAACAGAAAGTAACAGAACTGGTTGTTAGATTGACAGCCAGGGAATGTGTAAGACAAGCATGGTAAACTCAAAGGTTAAGACGGGCAAATAAACAAGGTTTAAGTTTATCTGGGTCTCAAAAAAAACAAAAACGTCAGTTTCATAGAAACGTAGATTTATTTAGAAAAGTACAGTATAAAAACAAGTCGCCTCACTGACACTGTACGTCCTCACGCTCATAGGGCTTCAAAGTAAACAAAAGAGGTAATTTATTTTAAGGAGATGTGCATTTGCATATAACTAATGTTTCAGCCCAACTACCTTGACGTATTAAGAAAAGTTTGGTAATGGGACTGAAATGGTGAATGTATGCTGTATGCACAGCGGTAAAAAACAAATGGCGTTATATTGTTAATTTTGAAGTCCTGTAAGTGTGTTCTTCACTTTGGTTGAGATAATCAAACTTGATGATATCAGCCCATAGGAAAGCATTGGGAGGCTATCGTGCATGTATGCAAAACGCTGCACAACCAATCACTATCTCCATGGGAGTGTTCAGCGCCTCCATGCAGATCCAATCTAATACACGGCTCACTCCCCCGATTCTAGTACACTGCCCCACTTCTAATACACTCCCCCAAATCCAATACACTGCCCCCGACCCTCCACTCTTATACACTGCCCCATGCCCGCACTCTAATACACTCCTCTCCTCCCTCACTCCACTCTAATACACTGCCCCCTACCCCACTCTAGCACACTACCCCTAAATTTAATGCTGCCCCACTCTCCCCATTCTAATTTAATACACTGCCCTCCCTCCCCCAATTTAATACACTGCCCCCTTTTTCCCCCCAATTTAATACACTGCCCTTCCACCCGCTCTAATACACTGCCCCTACCCCAATCTAATATACTGCCCCTTAATCTAATTCACTCCCCCCACTACCACCACTCTAATTTAATACACTTCCCTCTTTCCCCCAAATTTAACACACTGCCCCTACCTCAATTTAATACACTGTCCTCCCTCTAATCTAACACATCACTCTAATACACTGCCACCCTCCATCCTTCAAATTAATATACTGCCTCTTCCCTCCCCCAATTTAATACACTGTACGCCCATCCCCTATTCAACACACTTCACAGGAAGGTCCCCTAAACCCTTCTTCTCCTACCTTAAGATGAGCCACCCATCCTCCAGTTCCAGCCCTGCTCTTCTCTGCTCAAGCAGGCCTGATGCTCCTCTGGCACTGCGAGCATGAGGGACTGGGGAGTGACTGGCCTGCTCTGCAGACAGACACACACTCTGTGCACTGTAGCGCCATGCAGCCAGCATGGACTAATGCTTAGTGGTCTTGCAGCACACAATCAGCCGTGGCAGGGCACCTATCTTGCGGCTGGTCGCAGTCAGAGAAGAAAGCAGCCCCAGGGAAGACGGCCGCATATATATTCACTGTGGGCAGCATGCAGCCCATGGGCCGCAAGTTTGACATTCTTGGTGTATGAAGATTCATTTCTAAATGTGACAATTTCTAAAAAAAAATCTGCACTTTTTGTAAAATATAAAAAAAGAGGTTGCACCCTTCACATAAAGTATTTCAGCAAGCTAAAGTGCTTTAAAGGTCTTTTGTGTGCTACCTTCTCATATATTTTACTTTGGGCCTACACGCTATCTTTGTGGTTTCTTGTTCTTTCATTTTTTCTTATTTAATCACAAAAATATATTCTATGATAATGTGATGTTAATATTTCTGCTATATCTGATTCAACTAATTAAATGTTTAATAAAAAAGAAGAAATGTTAAACATCTACCATATGTGATAAAAAATATCTCTTGGATGTCAAGGTTTTAAATGTGTAGTTTTGCCTCAGTGCACAGGAGACAACTTCATTTCTGCCGAAAAGCTATATGGCTAGATATAGCAGTAGAAACCTATACTAGTAAGATTAAACAATTATTTTAAAAAGTCAATGTTGGCGGGTTGGAGAACAAGTGGGAGCAACGGATGCAACTTGGCCACTCGGGGGAAGGTGAAGAGAGGCCAAGTCTCTCTGGTAAAGTAGCATGCAAAACTATTGGCTAAAAGTTTTGTTTAGGGGGTGGCTTCTGTTACGGTACCCTCAGCATAAAATGCACAAACCGCCGTTTAGTGAACCCTCCCCTCTCGCAATAGCATAGGCTGCATGCGTATCCAGTACAATCATGCGAACCGCAAGCAAGGGAACACTGCAAACTCACGAACGGGATCCGTACGGCCACTTCACTCCATGAGCTCCAAACTCACGAATCGCCAATAGCAGCCGAACACATATATCTCCCAAGCGGCTAATAATTCCATCCAGCAGTCTCTAGTCATTGGTAATAAATCCCCCCAATAACGAGACCAAGCTCCGCATTGAGGGTAAAACAAGAACTGGCTTTACTGTGGGCTACCTGCCCGTATTTATGCAGGTCTCCCACTTGGTGGACACTCCCCTAGGGGACCAAATTGGAGACTGTAATAAAAGACAGACATATGGCAGGTCAGGACCCACAGACACAGAACATTCCCACAATGCATTAGTATTCCCTCCCCTCTGCCCTGGAGATAATTGAGAAGTAATTCAATTATCTCCAGGACAGAGGCAAATCGCCATTTTAAATTCAACACAGAAAAACATATAAAAATATATAACTTTGCATTTGTCGAATGCTACCCATTCATATCACGTATCCCCAGGTAGCCTGGATCTGAGTGCATATTATTGGCGAATAGTGCTCAGATCCCATACGCATAGTTTAATCGCCATGGAGTCAAAGTCTATTACAGTCTTTCGGTATGCGATTGACTCCATGGGAAGGCTTTGTGGGGTAAGTCCATTCGTGTGTTTAAACCTTTAAGCCGTCCGTTCGGTAGTTTTGTTCGGTGGAAAAGTCAATTCACTGAACAGGGGCATACGAACGGGTAATTCCACGAAAAAGGCAAAACAGACGAACCAGCAATCCCAGTTTATACAGATGGATCTGTCACACGACCCCCCCTTGTGGAACACTCCGGCAGACCCGGCTTGACCCTGTGGCGGGTCAACGTGGGGATGACCGGACTAGGAGGAAATAGGGACGTCGGTTTGCCGGGACAATCCATCCGCATTCCCATTCTGCTTACCGGGTCGGTAGCTGATGGTGAAGTTGTAAGGTTGTAAAGCTAAACTCCACCTCAGCAGTCTACCATTGTCTCCTGAGACCCGATTGTGGTCTGTGATGAGCAAGAACTCCTGCCCGTACAAATAAGGGCTCAATTTCTTTAATGCCCAGACCAGGGCTAAACACTCCTTCTCCACTGCCGCATAACTCACTTCCCGGGGTAGTAGCTTTCTGCTGAGCTATGCGACAGGGTGTTCTCCTCCATCTTCCCCGACCTGGCTCAGCACAGCCCCCAATCCATACATGGAAGCATCTGTATGGACGAGAAATCGTTTGTTAGGGACTGGGGCAGCCAGGACAGGGGCATTCACAAAAGCCTGCTTCAGTGCCTGAAACGCGGCTTCACAAGCTGGAGACCACAGGACCTGCTTAGGTAAGTTCTTTTTAGTCAGGTCAGTCAAGGATTTAGCAACGGTGCTGTAGTCGGGGACAAAGCATCGGTAATACCCTGCTGTTCCCAGGAAGGCCTGCACTTGGACTACAGGTGAGGCCCAAGGGCTGTCTGAGTGTTCGATGACGCCAAACTTGGTCATCTCCTGTATCTCCTTCCGCATTCCTTCCCGGACTGCTTCAGGGATATGATAGGGGGCTGTCGTAGGGGACTCTGTCTGGGTGTCTCTACCTTGTGTACAGCTAGGGTAGTGTAGCCGGGTTCTTGGGAGAACGTCGCCTGCTTCTCCCACAGAAGCTGTCTTGCCTGTACCATCTCCGTGGGGCTTAACCGGTGCCCTAGCTGTACAAGACTAGTGAGGTCAGTCTGGGGGTCTTTCTCTAATAGGTCGGGCAAGGGTAAATTCTCGGGGTCGTCGGCAGCCGGGGCACATACTGCAGCGACATCCTCTGGTCTCTCCTGATACTCCTTCAGCATGTTCACATGAAAGGATCGCTGAATCCTTTCATCTACACAGCTGGCTATAAGATAGGTAGTATTACATACCTGAGCTAACACTTTATACGTGCCCTGCCAAGATGCTTGCATCTTGTTCGTCTTCACAGGCTTGAGCACTAGAACCTTTTGCCCAACCTGAAAGACCCGCTGTCGGGCACCCCGATCGTACCACCTCTTCTGTCTCCCCTGGGCCGCCTGGAGATTCTCCCTTACCATCAGGGATAGTTTCTCCATGCGGTCCCGGATTTCCAGAACATATGGCACAATGGGGGTTCCCTCCTGCTCTGTCTCTCCCTCCCAGTGTCCTCTAATGAGATCTAGGGGTCCGCGGACCCTTCTCCCATAGAGTAGCTCAAAGGGAGATAACCCAGTAGATTCCTGGGGCACCTCTCTGTATGCAAAGCAGATGAGGCAGGAATCGCTCCCAGTCTCTGCAAGTGTCAGTAAAGGTCCTCAACATCTGTTTGAGGGTGCCATTAAATCACTCGCAGAGACCGTTAGTCTGTGGGTGGTAAGGTGAGCTAAGCAGCGGTTTAATGCCGCACACCTTCCACAGCTGCTGGGTGAGCACAGTGGTAAACTGAGTTCCCTGGTCGGAGAGGATCTCCTGAGGGAACCCGACCCTAGTGAAAATTTTAACCAGGGCATCAGCAACCGTCTCTGCCTCTATATTAGACAGCGCTACTGCCTCTGGATAACATGTGGCATAGTCCACCACGGTGAGAATATACTTCTGACTGGATGGGCTAGCCCTGGCCAGTGGACCCACAATGTCAACGGCTATGCGGGAAAAGGGTTCTCCAATGATAGGCATCGATATGAGCCTAGCCTTTGGGTGATCCCCCCGTTTAACTTCCCGTTGACATGTGTCACACGTGCTACAATAGACCCGCACATCTCGGTTGAAATTAGGACAGAAGAAGTTTTGGGTGATCCTATGTGCTGTGCGGCGGGAGCCCAGATGGCCCGCTAATGGCACATCATGCCCGATCCGCAAAATCTCTTGCCGGTATTTCGCAGGCACCACCAGCTGCCGATTCTGCGGAGGAGTACTCGGTCTCTGGGACGGTTTAGGGATCCTGTACAGCCTATCCCCCACCCACTCGTAACGCTCCCCATCAACCTCCTCTCCCCCAGTATCTGCCCTGGCTCAATAAATCTCTAGAGTCGGGTCCTCCCGCGTTTCCCTCCCGTACATCTCTGGGGTATCCCAGCCTAAAGGGGCCTGGTCTAAGGTACAAGTCGGGGTAGAGAGTCTTACCTGGGTCTCAGCAGCAGGTGGGCCGGTCTCGGCGGCACGGGTCTGGGCACGGGTCGTGACTGCGTCCACTTCAGTGGGACCCATGGGAGCGTAGGCTGAAACAAGGGGGGCCAAATCATTTCCAAGGAGGACATCAGCTGGTAAGTCCCTCATGATCCCCACATTCACATGTCTAGCGCCCACTCCCCAATCCAAATGTACCCGGGCAACGGGTAGAGTTGAAGGTATCAAAGAGAGGCCTGTGATTTCGGGAGCATAAACTAATGAAAGAGGAACAGTATGATTATAGCTAGGGTGAGGGCAGTGCTGTATGAATGCAAGATGGATTTATAATGGAGAAAGTTCGACAAGGTGCGAGACTTTGTTCAGCAGCATTCAGCTGAACAGGAAGCAGCGGGTTAACTTAGTATGCCATGGTTGGAGGCACATCTTCCTTGAGGTGCCTGTTTGGAGTGGGGTTGCGGCGGGATGGTCAGAGAGGACAGGAAAGGCAGGGATGGATGAGAGTTCCTGGAGGTCAAGAGAATTCACGTTCCATCTGAGTTAAGCGGGGGTTAGGCTGAGGTTGTTGGGTGATAAAGTCTTTCAAGAACAAATTAAAAGAGGTGGCGATCTGAGAGAGGAAATGTTGTGTTACAGAGGTTAGAGACCACGCATGCATCAGAAACAAATAAGATTGAGGGTATTGCCATCTACATGTTTGGAAGAATTAGCTCACTGTGATAGCCTAAGGGAGGAGGTAATAGAAAGAAGTTTGGAGGTTAACAAGGTCAAGGGTGGGTTAATAGGAATGTTAAAGGAAGAGAAAAAGGAAACCAAGGGGGTGATAAATAATGACTATGTTTACAGAGATGGCTTTGAACAGACGAACTGAGTGAGTTTCAAAGGAGGAGAAAGAGATGGAAGGGGGTGGATAGACTCACTCCAATAGTTCATAAATATATCCCAGACCTCGGAGGGCAGGTATCTCACACTAGATGTTACCCTAGCAGGCACAGGCAGGCACATGTAATAACTGAAACCTACCTTACTCTCCGTGTAGTCAGCACACAGTAGTGAAGTGCCTGTGAAGCAGTGAAGTCAGCCTGCTCCTTCTGAGGATGTGCACACATATTCTAAACTCCATACTAGGACTATGTCTAAAATAAGTCGTTAAGGAGCCAACTCGTAAAGAAGCCATATTAGACTTCGTAATAAAAATGGAGATTTGGTTTCAGATATTACTGTAGGTGAAAGTGTAGGATCCAGTGATCACCAGTCTGTGGTTTAATATAAGAACAGTGACTGAGTCACACCACACTAAAGTAAAAGTTTTAGACTTTAGAAAAACAGACTTTTCTAAAATTAGAATGTGTGTAAAGGAGTCATTAAAATAGAGTTAAAGAGAATTGGGATTATTTAAAAGTTGACCGACTGAAGGCAATAGAAAACTGCATTAGGCTTGTTAGTAAGAGCAAAAAAATCAAAGAAACCACTGTGGTACTCCACAGAAGTGGCCAAAATAGTACAAAAAAAAAAGTTAGCATTTAATAATTATAAAAAAAAACAGAGTGAGGAAGATAGATAGATCTGTAAGATTAGGCAAAAAGTGGCTAAGCAAGTTATAAGAGCTTCTAAATCACACACAAAACAGAAAAAAGCTCAGTCAGTAAAAAAGGGGGACAAAACATTTCTTTGATACATAAATGAGAAAAAGAAAGTAAAATAAGGATTAGTTAGAGTAAAAACAAGAGAAGCTAGGTATGTAGAAGAGGATAAAGGTCTAGCTGACAGCCTCAATTAATATTTTTGCTCAGTATTTACAGATAAACATGAAGGAACAGGACCTCAGTTAGGAACAAGGACAATTGAGTAATTTGTTACATGTGAATTTAAAGAGGAAGAGGTTCTATTTGAACTGTCAAAAGTAAAGACAAATAAGTCGATGGGGCATGATAGAATACACCCAAAATTATGAAAAGAGCTTAGTGGTGTACTAGCAAAACTATTAACGGATTTATTTAATCAATCAATTTTAACGGAAGTAGTCCCAAAATATTGGAAATTGGCTAATGTTGTGTCCATTCACAAGAAAGGTAGTAGGGGGGACGCGGAACAACTATAGGCCAGTAAACCTTACTTCAGTAGTGGGAAAAGTGACGGAAACCATGTTAAAGGAAAGGATTGCTGAACATCTAAAATCACATGGATTTCAAGATCAGAGACAACATGGGTTTACTTCAGGGAGATCATGCTAAACTTATCTTATTGATTTTTTTTGATTGGGTAACTAAAATAATAGATCAGGTGCATTGCTTACCTTAATTTTCAGCAAGGCTTTTGACACTGTTGCACATAGACAGCTCATCAATAAACTACAATTATTAACTTTGGATTCTAATATTGTTGAATTGGTTAGGCAGTGGCCGAGTGTCAGGCAACAGAGGGTTGTAGTTAATGGAATATATTTGAAGCATGGGCTTGTCACCAGTGGGGTACCTCAGGGATCTGTACTTGGACCCATTCTCTTTAATGTTTCTATTAGTGATATTGCAGAAGGTCTTGATGGTAAGGTATGTCTTTTTGCTCATGATACAAAAATATGTAGCAGGGTTGATGTTCCAGGAGAGATAAGCCAAATGGCAAATGATTTAGGTAAACTAGAAAAATGGTCAGAGCTGTGGCAACTGACATTTAATGTGGATAAGTGCAAGATAATGCATCTTGAACGTAAAAACCTAAGGGCAGAGTAAAGAATATCTAATAGAGTCCTAACCTTAACATATGAGGAAAGGGATTTAGGGGTAATAATTTTAGATGACTTAAAGGTAGGCAGACAATGTAATAGAGCAGCAGGAAATACCAGCAAAATGCTTGGTTGTATAGGAAGAGGTATTAGCAGTAGAAAGAGGGAAGTGCTCATGCCATTGTACAGAACACTGGTAAGACCTCACTTGGAGTATTGTACGCAGTACTGGAGACCGTATCTTCAGAAGGATATTGATACCTTAGAGAGAGTTCAGAGAAGGGCTACTAAACTGGTTCATGGATTGCGGGATAAAACTTACCAGGAAAGGTTAAAGGATCTTAACATGTATAGCTTGGAGGAAAGACGAGACAGGGGGGATATGATAGAAACATTTAAATACATAAAGGGAATCAACACAGTAAAGGAGGAGACTATATTTAAAAGAAGAAAAACTACCACAACAAGAGGACATAGTCTTAAATTAGAGGGGCAAAGGTTTAAAAATAATTTTAGGAAGTATTACTTTACTGAGAGGGTAGTGGACGTATGGAATAGCCTTCCAGCTAAAGTGGTAGAGGTTAAGACAGTGAGGAAGTTTAAGCGTGGGATAGGCATAAGGCTACCCTAGACTTAAGATAAGGCCAGAGACAAATGAAAGTATTTTGGAAATTTGGGCAGACTAGATGAGCCAAATGATTGTTATCTGTCGTAACATTCTATATTTCTATATTTAAAAGAGGGGCTACGAATCACACAGATGAAGACGTATTTATGGGGGGAGAAGGGAGAAGGCAAAATGCATCATCCCTTGTGTAGCCAAAAATCCTTGGCAATGTATCTTCTGTTTGCTACACTCTGGTCAACAGATATACAGTTGTAATTAAAATTATTCAACCGCCATTGAAAATCATGTTTATTGTTAATATTTACAGACTTTCAGCTGTTTGCAATGAACAGATCAAACAAAAGCAATTGAAGTAGCTCAACACAACATATGCTTCAAGTGGTTTCCCCAAATTCAATTGAAAATGTAACTTCTAATGACTTATCTAGTCTAAAGAATATTCAACCCATTCATAGCAAGCATCTCTAGTACTTAGTAGAGCACCGTTTTGCTGTTATGACCTGCTGCAAATGAGGTGCCTACTCAGACACCAGCTACCCACTCACATCTATGGCTTTATTTTTCATCTGGTACACAGGCTGCTATACATAACATTGTGATTTTAAAACATACCCCAGTTGAATGGATCCTAATCATAGGTCCACCCCTCCAATTCACCCCCCGCAATAGAGATTCCCAAAATACTTAACGACACAGGACTCATTTAAAAGCATGTTGGTAGGAACCTGTGCCAAATCAAAGCACAGGTTTCTAATTATATAAAACAATAGACTTAACAATACTAAACCCAGTAGAGATTTGGTGAATACTCATCTAGCATACGTCGCTGTGCCAACTGATAACACACAAAAAACAAAAAACAAAGCTACTTTAAGGCAAACATATTGCTTGGACACTTCTTATTGGAAAAGGCAAAAACACAACTGAAAATTACTAGGAAAAAAAGGGGCAAATGAGCAAATGAATCATGCACATCGCACAACCCAAACCAGGTAGACACTGCATAAGCAGTATTGTTAAAAATGACAGGACTTCCACCGCAGACCCAGGGGAAATAAACTAATCTTTTCCAGACACATTTTTATCACAATCAAATTATCTTACAAGGGGAATTGATCTAATCAAGGGAGCAAACCTACCTAGGTTAACAAATAAACAAAGATAGATTCTAAATGCTCCTATTAGAGAGGAGGAAGTAGCACAGGTGATAAAAATGGGAAGGCAAGTAAGGCACCAGGACCAGATGGATTTAGAGCTGATTATTACAAGATCTTGAAAGCACACATTACAAAAACCCTAACATCAGTGTTCAATGTTATATATACATAGATAGAATACAGGTAGAACATCTGAGGACCTCCAGAACAAACCTGAACAAATCCTGACAAAGACCCAGCATTGTTAAATTCAAGAAGACTGATTACACTGTTAAACAATTATTATTATTAATATTTATAAAGCGCCAACATATTCCGCAGCTCTGTACAATGGGTGGACTAACATACGTATTTGTAATCAGACGGGTTGGACACACAAGAACAGAGGGATTGAGGGCCCTGCTCAATGAGCTTGCATGCTAGAGGGAGTAGTGGGGTATAGTGACACAAAAGGTAAGAGTAGAATGACTTCAAACTTTTCACTAGGATATTAGCTAGTAGAATTCAACAGTTTTTGTCCTCCATTTTACATCCCCAACATTTGAGATTCACAAGAGGTAGACAAACCATTCAAGGAATCAGAACCGACAGAACGGCATTAGCCGCAGCGTCGATATATGACAAAAGTTCCAACAATACTTAAGCATTCTTACTCAGTTTAGCCTTTGATCAAGTATTTTTGCCCCATCTCTTCAGAATCTTAAAATATAACTTTTTTGGAATCCCATTTTATAATCTCATGAAAGCCTTGTAGACCAAAAATTTACAAAAAGTAAATACCAATGTTCTAGATACAGAAAATCTCATTATCACGAGGGGGTGAAGCAGAGATGCCTGTTATCACCTATTCTCTTTAACTTAGCTTTAGACCTACTCATAAGTTTTAGCTAAGCTTCTGAGGACAATAAAGGAATACAGTTAGGTCCTCAACACTATTAAACATACTGGTTTTGCAGATAACCTTTAGTTTTATATCTCAGATCCTGCAAGCTCCCTTAATAACACGATTGTTGTTTTTGAAAGATATTGATTAATAACAGGTTTCCACATTAATTAGTCCCAATCGAAATTGAGATTAGGCGAAGGCCCAAACACGGAGAACTCTTAAATGCACAACCACAAACTTACCTAGGGGTATTGATACCGAAGCAAATGTCACTCAAGGTCTGTCACTCCACGGGGCCTGGCCCCCCTGTAGGCCCCTGCAACCTGGGTGCCCACCGGCATTGTGGGGCGGCCCTAGCCGCTCAGAGCTACCGCCGGAGCCGCATTAAGGGGGCCCATCGGGTGGCCAATACTCTGAGGGGCTCGGTAGGCTCTGAGGAGCTTTAACCCCTTAAGGACACATGACATGTGTGACATGTCACGATTCCCTTTTATTCCAGAGGTCTGGTCCTTAAGCGGTTAAGAGCGCAACCAAGCCCCAGTGATGATGTGAGAGCGCTGGGAGGAAACCATCACTTCCTCCTAGCTAACAGAGCCGCGCAGGAGGAGAGCGCCTGAGAAAGTGGGGTCAGAGTGGGAGCTCTGACTCCCATCAGTCTGAGTCAACCACTGGACCCCAAGAAAGTCACCTTCCTGCACCTAAAAGGTAGGACACAGGAGGGTGACTACAATTATTTTACAGCTTGCATGTGTGTGTGTGTGTCTGAAATTCTGTATATCTGTGTGTGTGTGTGTGTGTGTGTGTCTGTATGTGTGTCTATATGTGTATCTGTGTGTGTGTTTGCATGTGTGTCTGTATGTATATCTGTGTGTCTGTATGGGTATCTTGTTGTCTGTGTGTGTATCTGTTTGTCTGCATGTGTGTCTGTACGTGTATGTCTTTGTCTGTGTATCTGTTTGTCTGCATGTGTGTCTGTACGTGTATATTTTTGTCTGTGTATCTGTCTGCATGTGTGTCTGTATGGGTATCTGTTTGCATGTGTATCAGCATGTATCTGTATCTGTGTGTGTGTCTGTATGTGTGTGTGTCTGCATGTGTGTCTGTATGCTTGTCTGTATGCATGTCACTGTTTGTATCTGTATGCGTGTTTGTATGTGTATCAGTATGTCTGTATGTGTATCTGTTTATCTGCACGTGTGTTTATATGTGTATCTGTTTAACTGCATGTGTGTCAGTGTGTGCCCCTATGTATCTGTATGTGCGTCACTGTTTATATCTGTATGAGTGTCATTCTGTGTATCTGAATGTTTGTCATTAAGTGTGTCTGAGTATCTGCATGTGTGTCTATATGTGTATCTGTCTGTATGTGTGTCTGTGTATCCACATTTGTGTTAGTGTGTGTCTGTGTATCTGTGTCAGTGTTTGTATCTGTAAAAGTGTCATTCTGTGTACCTGAATGAGTATCATTGTGTTTGTCTGTGTATCAGCATGAGTATCCGTGTATGTACCTGTATAGGTTTTATTAAACAGATGAAGGTGTGGGGGGGGGGGAGAACATGCAAAGGAGCGGAGGGCCAAGGGCAATTTTTGCACCGGGGACCTGTGGTCTCTCATTGCACCGCTGGATGGTAACAATTGGGGAGAGGTGAAACTACTATACCCATTGCAAGCCTTACCAACATTACTCTCAAGATCAGATGAAAACAAATTTAAATCAGCTTTTCAATGTCCGCGAATAACTAAACAAACTATCTCAACCCAGATTCAATCTGGGATTCAATATTCTCATTTAATATACATCGCAGCGCTATCGACATACACTGGACTCAATTAGAGGATCAATTTACTACAGTAAACGGAAACACAACTTTGCCCTAGTATATCACTCATCTAGCTACTACAGGCCCCAAACGCTTCCATGCCAGAAGAAGCAAAGTATAATTCATTACTGGCATCCACTTTTTTGCTTTTCTAGGATCCATTCTCTGCGTCCAGGGAAAGAAGTGTTCCATCCTTCCTCCCTAGCAGCAGCGTGAGGTCCAGGGAACAGAGATAGCCGGTTTGTTCCCCAGCAGCAGAATGCATCCCAGGGAGAGAAGTGTTCTGTCCTTCCTCCCCAGCGGCAGTGTGAGGTCCAGGGAATGGAGACAACCGGTCTCATTCCCCAGCGACAGAGTATGTTATTGGGAGAAGGGACAGTCAGTTGCTCTTCCCAGCGGCAGAGTGTGTTATTGGGAGAAGGGACAGTCGGTCTCTCTCCCCAGCAGCGCATTGAGATCCAGGGGGCGATGGAGTATTTCTCGCTCACTCTCCAGTATCCCGAGCAGCGCCAGGGGAGAACACAGTTGGCTCTCCTCCCCAGGCGCCAGACACGACCCCTGCGAGGAACAGGAAGCGGACCCGTGACAGACGCCCCAAATGACACCCATCATCCTCAACCAGCCGGGAAAACGGCAGGAACACAGGTGATGGAATGGCCGGGGAGGCACGCTTGTTTGGGTGGGGGGTTTTACAGGCTCAGAGACTCATGTGTACTGGAGCCTGGCCTGGACGGCTTCCCAGTCTATGGGTGCTTTATGTTTAAGTTACCCAGTACCCAAAAGAGTGCAGGCTGCAACGCCGGCCAGACCCCTGGACTGGTGGGGCTGGCTGAGGACAAGTACTGTGCGGGCATGGCACTCACAGACTATGTGTCCACTCCAGACAGCAGCGAGCTGACCCATGGATCATGCTGTGGCTGTCGGAGGTGGACAAGGGGAAGATGTGTGACGGGACACCGTCACTTATTCGTATATTTTCCCCAGATTCCCTTTGTGTTCAAAGTCATCCCTTTAAATTGTTACGATCAGCAGTGTCTGGTTTAGTGGTGATGCATTATTGCATGGTTTTACTTATTGCATCCCTTCAAGCCACTTGGAGAAAAGAGGAGAAAAAATCAAAACAAATATATAAACCACAGCAAAATGTTCCACACATCTGGTGACAGTATGATTTATTTGAGAAACATAGCAACATGGGCGTTGATCAATACCCATATCGCTATGTTTCTCAAGTAAATCATACTGTCACCAGACACTGCTGCTGATGAACAAGACTGGGTGTCTCTGTTCCCTGGACCTCACACTGCCGCTGCAGAAGAAGGACGGAACACTTCTCTCCCTGGACTGCACACAGCCGCTGGAGTGAGACCGGTTGTCTTCACTCCCAATAACTCTGCTTTGTGCTGCAGATGCCTGGCCACGATATTCCTTGTGTGCTGTACGTATTCTTCAGCGGGGTTGGGTTCATAGAAAGCCAGCAGCCTCGTCAGCAGATTGTCAAACTCTGCCTTACTGTAGCTGGGCGCCATGCTTGTTTGATTAATGAATGCTGGTTCCGTTCGGCTGGGAAGTGCCATCCCACCGCTTGCCACCAATTGTAGCAGACCCGGGTAACCCAACTGGTTACCTCCACTATTACCTTCCTTCGGCCACTCTGGAACCCTTAAAACAAGCAGGCATCCATTTCCACCCAGTAACTGGACAACACACAGTTCTGGAAGTCAACTGAAAATATACTGCCGTTTATTTTGTCACACATGGTTTACAGGCACAGACCCCTACATGAGGTCTCCAACACAATACAACATAGGATTCAATCTCAAGAAGCTGATGGTGGATGGAGGAGGGACAAAGTCCTGCTGGGACAGGAAAAGGAAGGGGGAGTGGCATAGACAAGCAGTACATTCAGAAAAGGAAGGGGGAGGGGAAGGGGGAGAGGCACAGACAAGTAATACATTCAACCTATTGTTCAGTGTTACGTAATTTGCTGGCGCTATATAAATAATAAAAATAATAACCTATCCTGTACCAATAAAATATGTTTCTCAAGTAAATCATACTGTAGACCTTAGACAGATTTATCACTTGCAAGTACTTCTCACCAGATGTGCGGAACATTTTGCTGTGGTTTATATATTTATATATTTGTGTTGTGTTTTTCTCCTTTCTTCTCGAAGGGATGCAATAAGTAAAACCATGCAACAACAATTTAAAGGGATGACTTTGAACACAAAGGGAATCTGGGGAAAATTTACAAATAAGTGACGGCGTTCCGTCACATATCTTTTTTAAAATTGTTTTAATTTTTGTATTATTATAATAATTTTATTTTCTTTTTATATATATATATATTTTTTAAATTCAATGTCATGCAAGGAGCTGCATATATAACCTCCAAACTGTCTTTCTCAAAACCTTTTGTAAATGTTTCATGAAAATAAACAGATTAAAACTAAAAAGTAAATGGTTTCTATGGAATCGTGACCAAACAAATCTTGGTACTGCTTGGTACCTGCATTATTCAAGTTCCTGTAAGACAGGGGAAGACCATCATGTGTAAAATTTGAGATATAGAAGAGGAAAGACTAGTGAGGGACTAATGAACAGCCAATTTATCCTACAGAGCAAGGTCATTAAGGAAAGATGTCATCTCCCTCTCAGTAGAAGCCTCATTGATTTTCGTAGCCATATTAAGTAGTTATATATGTTCAAGACGACTTGTATTAAGTTCAACCTTTTACACCTCTTTGGTTTTTCTGTTGATTAAAAACAGCAAACAAATGCCAGTTTGAAACAATTTCCAATTATACAGCAAAAAAGGAAAAAGTATTTTTTAACCAATCAGCTATCTCTTTGGATCAACATGCTGTCAATACAAGGCAATTAGCTATTATAGCCCTGACTAAGCTTAGGGCTATTATTGTCTTGTTAAACCCCAAAGTGCTCTCAATGAAACCAATTCTCTTAGCCCCTCACCCTCTCCTCTGGCCCTGGCTTTAGTGCAGAAGCATTTTATTTCTGCATCAATACTAGGTTGTGAGCATAATCTGATGCTTTAAGCCTATCACTGGCCTACCATTAAGAGAAATGCTTTAGAAAGGTATGTACCAGCACTTAAGTGAACCTTCGAAAATGGTTTAACATCATAAGGTACAACTGCAGACATTATAACGAGAATCATTTGTTATGATGTGTGGAGTGGTCCTTTAAAAAGTAGCTTTCAGAAGATGCTTCTAAGGGTGATTGGGATATAGGTATTAGGTTCTATGCACAGGGCCAAAGCAACCAAAGTCAGAAAAAATAACTAGAGAAACAAAAAAGATGTTTTCCTGACATATAACATAGGTGCACCATATACCGTATATTATATCATATTATTATCATTATTATAAATGATTTAGTAGTACCGACAGGAGAAAGTCACTGGCAGGGCAGAGTGGCTGAGAACGGGCGTATTCACTATTAGCAAAAAAATGTACTGAGGGTAGAGTTCTTGACAACTTTGTAAGTAAGAGTTAATATTTTGAATTGAATTCTCTAGGGCACAGGAAGCTAATATAACGACTGACAGAGGGGGGACATGTGAGAGGAGCGACAGGAGCGGCAGCATTCATTACGGACTGTAGCGAGACAGTGCGCTATCTGGAGAGACCAATTAAGACAGTTACAGTAGTCAATGCGAGAAATTACAAAAGTATGAATCAGTTTCTTAGCAACTTCTTGTGTAAGAACTGGGTGGATGTGCTCAATATTTTTAAGGCGGAATTGACAGAATTTGGAGACAGACTGGATATGAAGTGTAAAGGTGTAGCCAGAATCAAAGGTAACATTTAAGGTGGCAAGCTTGCATGGATAGACTGATGCACGTACCATCAACATGCTTGGAGATCAGGGCCAGCTCAACCGTAAGGCGAACTCGGCATTCGCCTAGGGCACCGGCCTGCTGGGGTCGTCCACTGGGATATTTCCTGGTTACATAGTTACATAGCTGAAAAGAGACTTGCATCCATCAAGTTCATGTTTTAAGTTTCCTGACACCTATGATTCCTTTGTGGATACCGGTTCCTTGATTCCAGAGTTCCTGATTCGTTGTTCCTGGTTTGCGAAATGTGATTTCTACTTTTTGAAGACCGTTTCTGATGACGATAATCCTTATATACCAGAGTTTTTTCCAAACAGATTGTTATTTCTGACTTGTTTCATTGTATCATTTTCATATTTTTATTAACTTTATATTTACAATTTTAGGAATTGTTTATTATTATTTTTCTATCAAGAGTCCTTTGTCTCTGTTCTCCTTAACCCCAACATATGCCTGTATATTTTTGGGGATGGGAAAAATTTTAACTTCCTCTCTCATGGCCTCATATTTTGCATATATTTTTCCTTTTTCATTTTAGCCTTTTGTATTTTTTTTATTTGGTCCCTTTTTAGATAATTCTTTCAAGGTTTTTCTCCAATGTTTTCTGTAAATATTACTCTAGTAAAAAACTGTCTAATGTCATGCCTTTCTTTAGTAACACGTTAATACATGATTTGAATTCAGTCAGGTGGGAATTTGAAATTTTGCCACCACAAATTTATGCAAACTTTCACTTCGGGTTGTGCGCTGTGTTCAGATCCTTTCACCAACTTTTTTTTTTTACAGTTTTTGTTTTCTATCTTTGAGCGTTAACAATAGTGTTGAAAATTATGTTGACTAATGTGAGAGGTCTGAATGCTGAATAGATTACTATTTAAGGAGACTAAAAAACGTAAACCAGAAATTTTGTTTGTCCAATAAACCCATTTTAAAAAAGGTCACATTCCTAATACAATACTTTGGCAAAAGACTATCCCACACAATATCATTCTGCATTTGATAATAGTGTTTCCATGTTCTTGCACAAAAATATGACATGTCATACAAAAAAGAGGTATTTATAGAGGGATCCCTTAATAGTGTTGAGTACACTCTGGTAAATCTTTACTCCCCGAACTCTAAACAATTTCAGTTTTTGAAAAAGATTGTTAGCAAAGTTTCAGACGGGAGCAATGGCAGAATAATTTTGGGTGGTGGCATTCATTTTGTTTTAGACTGTGACAATGATATTGTATGAGAAGCAAATAGTGCCCTCAAAAATTATAATAGTATACAGCTAGCTGATTTATGTTCAAAATTAATTAACAATACCTAATTTGGATATGAAATACTGGTCCTCTTATTATATTAACTATATTAACGATTGGTTCTCATCTTCCACCCTTTTTTCCATTTAAGTATCTTTGATGCCCCTAATCATGAACAGATAGCAGAAAAAAAAATTAACGAACACTTTGAAATTTCTCTCCGGGATCCGAAGTGTAAACAATTGGAACTACTAAATTTAGAAAAAATATACATTTCAGATCCTGGCCAGAAACGTACCATCTCTCAATGTTACGCCATCTTTGCAGGTGAACTAGGCATGAAACTACCTTTTATGATTGAGTGGGAGAGGAATTCACAGTATCGGAGTGGCATAATTTGATATTGGCTTTAAAGGTAATTACTCGTAACATTATTCATTTGGAAACACATTTAAAACTATTATATAGATGGTACTTCTCTCCCTTTAAAATGTTTAGACTAAGTCTTTCCAAATCTAAGTTATGTTGGAGGGAATGTGGCCAAACAGGTACCCTGTTTCATATTTTCTGGACATGCCCAAAAATGCAAAATTATTGGTAAAACATTTTAGAATTGATTATTTCCATTACAGAATTCTCGATTGATTTAACCCCCCAGTATGTGTCTCCTTAAACGTTTCCCAGATGATCTAGCATTTCAGAAATGTGTTATGTTGGGATATCTACTTATTTCGGCCACCTTCGCTTTTCCCCACCTATGGAAATCGGCTGCTACTCCAACTGTCACTGATGTTCTTCTTCATTTATTTGAAAGCAAGAGAAGCAAGCTGGCTCTCCGTATACCAACAGCCAGTAATGTCCTTTTATGACACGATTGGTCTGAATGTGAAAAGGCGATGAGGAATAAATTAAAATTAAATTTAGTGCCCATCTGACCGAATATATTATTGTTTCATTTTATAATCGAAAAGAGAATAGAAATGTTTATTTTATTAACCATGTAACTTACAGAATACATTATTATTACTATTTTATTATTTATATAGCGACATCAGATTCCATAGTGCTGTACAAAGTGTGGACTAACAGACATTTAATTGTAACCAGACAACTCGATGTACAGGAACAGAGAGGTGGAGGGCCCTGCTCAATGAGCTTACATTCTAGAGGGAGTGGGGTATAGTGACACAAAGGGTAAAAGTAGGGGAACGAAGTAAGATGTTAGAAACGTATTCATTGAGGGCTTAGTAGGTAATTTTTGACAGTTGCAGGAGAGGAGTCATGGAGGGGGGGATGAAAACCTGCAATTTAATTGATATGCTTTCTTGAAGAAGTGAGTTTTCAATGATTCTTTGAATGAGTGGAGACTGGGTGAAATTCTTACGGAGAAGGAAAGGGAGTTCCATAGAAGAGGTGCAGCCCTGGGAAAGTCTTGGAGGCGAGCGTTAGAGGTTGGAGTACGGACAGAGGATATATGTAGGTCTTTGGCAGAGCGTAGGAGCCTCAACGGGACATACTTATGTATTAGGGAGGATAGGTAGGTTGGAGCAGCATTATGTACATGACTATTTTATATATACTCATTACATAAATTGCTGTTTCATGTAATCTTTTCCCTATAGGATTAGATTTATTTTTATTTCTCAACTATTCATTATGGATATTACATTACCCCTTTTTTTCTTTTCCCTTTTCTTTTACTTTTTCCTTTTTTCTTCCCCAGTAACATGATCTCTTTATAGACATTGCAAATGTTTCCTATAGCTCATTACTGTATTGACAAACTTACTATAATGTTTCATGTTTCAGAATTGTTCTAATTATATATCATTTATATATGTTTATTTTAATGAATGACCACTACTTGATCCAGTTCATTATACTGATTACTATTATTTTTAATATACAATTCAATATATTTAAATTAAATAATATTTGTAAGAAAAGTTGAGTCTTATATATCACTGTTAATACATTATTGACTGTTAAAACATTAACAAAAACATATT